CTATAAAAATGCAAAGTTAATGCAAAAGCTCTGAGAGAAGCATTATATTTTTGTTTTGACTTCCCCTTGATAAATCGTTTCAGAATTTCCTTTGTGCCATCATCCACTGATGCCTGAAAACAAATATATATTCATGGAATAATCATGTTACAAAGTAGAATATTATTGAAACTTTGCATAAAACCAAAAAAAAAAACATAAATCTTTTTCAGTATTGTAAACATGTTAAACTAAAATGGAAACAATAAGTTCTAGGCTAATTGAAGTGTGTAGCAGCATGCAACTGATACCTACATTCAAAACTAGTCCTGCATTTGGCGTCAAACCACATGTCTCCCTCAAATACTCCATTAATGATTGCTGGGAATATACTTTAGACTTCAGTCTGCGATTTTGCTGCTGAAGATTTTTAATTTTCTTTTTCAGAGACGCTATTGTTTTTTCTGCGCTACCTACAGTTTTGCCAGAAATGTTCCATACATGCTTATGCATTTTAGATCTGAAATAATAGATATTACTTTGTGTGCTCATCATTATCAATTTTGAAAACTTGAACTCACCTTTGCTGCATTATTTGCCTATGCCTAGTCATTTTCCCCGAGATGCTTGGTAGTTCTCTAGGTTCATCATCAGAGCTTGCAGTAACTGTTGCTGACAATGAGCTGGCCGACAGAGTAATTGAACTATCATTTCTTGCCAAAACAGTGTCAGAGTTGTTACTATAAACAAAAATATATGTCAAAATGAATGTATACAGTTGCAGTAAACTAATCCATTCGACTGATGAATAGTATTATTTAGTCACTAGGGACAGTAGAAAGCAAACAACATGTTATTGACCAAGAATTGGATTTTGTTGCCAAAATAATCAATTCAATTAAGTACAACAGTATAGCTGGAGTTCGTTAAGAACAAAATAAAGCTTTAACTTCTCATGAATAGTGTTGTTTGGTCAACAAAGCAGTAAAATGGAAACAAAACTATTAACAATACAATTTTGTCATTCATTCAATGACCTGGGAACTATCAAAGTAGCTGGAATTCAACATATAAGGTCTTTAATGTGCATCAGAACTTGAATGAATAACAGCAATACCTTATATTGCATTCAGATGCTGTCACTGTAGTTGAAGATATTGACAAGACATCACAGTTGTCTGATTGAGGACTTGTCAATCTCTTCAGCCCTCCATCTCTAACTGCAGCACTCATAGATTCATTCCTGCAAGAAAAAAACAAATTACTGTTAGTGAACCAAGCACTACAAATGAGTGTTAGCTAAAAACTGAAGAAACGAAGATTCAGTTCCTGCCATCTGAAAATGATTTTCCAAAACATAGGTACTCTAATGTATAAACAATTCATAACCTTTTCCGCTTAGGAGTAGAATGTCCAATTTTGGCATCGGTACTTGTGAAGGTGTGCTCATATTCAATGATGATCTCTGCAGGTTCAGACATCCTATTGCTACTTGTACTGATATCGACATTCGGGTTCTGATCCTCACAATGATCTGAGCCAACCAAATCCATTTCAGTAACTGGCAGCACGACGAACGAGTTGGAAAACTAGAAATACATAACCATGCGTTAAGCCATTATCATTATTCAAAATATTCCAAGTGAAATTATTCTTATCAAGCTATTAAGAAACCTAGGACTAAGGACAACCCAACGACTTCATATGATGTCGTTGGGACGACCATGCATTTTGAGGTTATAAATGCGTTAATTACTTACACACGAAAACTCACGTTGGATTACTTCCAGTATGGTCTGCCACAAACTACACACACTTGTCTTTAATTATTGTCTATTTCTACCAATTTTTCACTCACGACTCACTGTATATTAGCTGCTTTAACACAACGGAACAAAGAGTTCACAGTCAACAAATAAACATGGGGCTGATAGAGTCAGACGCTTCATAGTCCAGTCAGTTTAAGCAAAAAAAATCGATGCGATACTGAAACGAGATACAGTCAGAGAAATACGCATTAATTATGTATGGACAGCTATTACATACGGGAATATTATGATTGAGAGTGATCAAATTCCATTATAAAGTGTTTTGCATCATACAGAGGCAATCCCAAACTAAAATAGCCTCAAATCAGGTATCTAAAATTACCTAACTATCAATAGCAGATATGTATACATACAGTGAGGGCTTGTTTGTTTATTTTTCGCGGCTTCAAACAATTCCCCTAGAACGCGTAGTCTAACCTTATGAAGTCGTTACAGTGGGCAAGACATCGGTAGTAGAAGCCATTTCAGTAGTCATGGAGCTGTGGACAAGTGAACATCGCGCATTTGTTGTCGAGACGTATTTTAAAAATCACGACTCGGTGATCATTACACAGCGTCTATTTCGTACACATTTCAATGTCGGACGTCATGGTTCTGTTCCATGCCGTAACACAATTAAGTTGTGGGTCAAAAATTTTCGTCGATCTGCATCAGCAATGAAAGCTAAGCCACCAGGAATGCGTCGAACAGTTCGGACTCCATCCAATATTGAGAGGGTGCGAACAGCGGTGCAGCAAAGTCCACGTCGTTCAGCTAGGCTACAAGCAATTAGTCTAAGGCTTTCAGAAACAACAGTGCGGCGTATTTTGCATAAGGATTTACATTATCACCCTTACAAATTAGCGATGGTTCAAGAACTGACAGCTGAAGACTTTGTGAACCGTTTGACTGCAAGCAACCAGCTTCTGGAACTTTTGGATGAAAACGCTTTAGGTGGCTTAATTATGTCTGATGAGGCGCATTTCGAGTTATCAGGCTACGCAATAAGCAGAATTTTCGCTACTGGTGTGCAGAAAACCCGAGAGAACTTCACCAGCGACCCCTTCATAGTCGCAAGGTTACTGTTTGGTGCGGAGTGTCGCGATTCGGCATAATTGGACCCTATTTTTTTGAGGACGATGCTGGAAATTTTTCGAACCAGAGCTTCGTCGACGGAACATAAATTTAAATACTGTATGGTTTCAGCAAGATGGCGCCACAGCGCATACAGCACGAGCAACAATGGTTCGACTGCGAGAAATGTTTCCAGGAAGAGTCATTTCGCGGAATGGAGATGTTCCTTGGCCGGCAAGGTCTCCCGATCTCACGGCTTGTGACTATTGGTTATGGGGTTATCTCAAAAACAAGGTATATTTAATGAGCCCAAGGACCATTGAAGAATTGAAGGAAAACATTCGCAATGAAATTAGCGCGATTCCGATGAGTATGGTACAGCGCGTAATGGGGAATGTGCGAAACCGTTTGGAAGAGTGTGTCCGCAGTGAAGGACATCATTTGACCGAAGTTATTTTCCATACATAAAATGGCATGTAATACACTTTCGATTACTTATATATGAAAATAAATATCTTGAAAGATACATTTGTAGTTTCATATTGAAACTCATCAGGTTCTTTTGGCGGACTCTGTATATAGGCTACTTGACCCATATCTAATTTAAAGAATAAAGGAGTATTTCTTAGAGTATTCGGCTTGAGAAAACGAAATATATCGATTTCAATTTTTAAAAGCTCAAGACGGATATACAGGGTATCCCGAAATTGAAGGATAATCCTGCAATTATACTCGTAGATACATCACGTCAAGGCATACTAGATGGTAAAATTTTATTTTCTTAGTTTTTGAGAATTTCAGCTTTCATTTATTTAACGCTTATATTCATTTAATCGCTCGCCATTCCTACAAATTTCACCTTTTTTGAACCAGGTTTGCTTTGAAATATCTAGAATTAAGCATGCCAAAGTCTGAACTTTTATTAAAACCCCTTCTCACGTCTGACTTTGAAATCCTTTAGAGTGAGAGGAACAAGTATGATCACTGTGCCAATTTGACGAAAAAGTTGGCCAACTATTGGCAATTTTTAAATGATTCGTTTTTCGCATTCTGCTGTTTTATTGTTGTTATAATGGAGGAGGGTCAGTTTTCGTAGATATCAGAAAATAACAATATATGGCTTGGATACAAAAAAAATGGACAGGATTGTTGTTAAATGATAATTTACATTTAAGATATCAGTGTAATAAGCACCATTGGCTCTCATACATGACCTACATTTAACCGACAAATGCTCGAATGCCTCAATTTTGGAACTACATAAATTTTGTTAGTCTAGTCAGCGCAGCTTGGCATACAAAATCTCTAAGGCCCGTATCGTCAGTCAATTGTAGGGCGCCTTTATGACCTCCTTGATTGTCATACTCCTTTCTCTCCTTCAAAAATTTCTACATTACACTTGTCCCGTGTCAGCGTCAGCGCTCTCCTATTGTGAAGATATGTTTTCTTTTTAAATTGTAGGAAATTTCAGGCTGATAAAACTTGATACAACTCAAAAGCAAGCACAATTTGATGCAAATAGATGATTGTGACATAACCTCAAAATAGAGCGCTGACACGGAGATGTAGAAAACTATGACAATCAAGGAGGCCATAAAGGCGCCCTACAATTGTAGGGACGACTGACGATACGGGCCTTAAGCAACCCTAATAAAAAAATTTGTGGACTTAGGTCCAATGATCTAGGTGGCAATGGAATATGGCCCCGTAGTCTGTTCTGCCTTATTGAATGTTGCATTTGTAATTGAAGTGGTCTCTGACCGAATGTGATTTGCAGCAGTATTACTATTAGTATGTTTAGTAAAACATTTAATACCTAGCGTGAGTACTAGCCTATTGTGAATTCATTTGTTGGTCGGGACAATAGGGAAGTCCAGGACCAAAAACACAACCACATGATGAGATCAGAAAGTTAAAATAATTGTTTTCATATTTTTTATATTGTTCAACCGTCTTGTTTACAGCAAATGAAAACACATTTTCAAAAGTAGTTTTTACCGAATATCTGTGGGAGAAAAATTGTTTTTAGATTTGATTTAAGCGTCTCAAAATACATAAGATACACTCAAAAATTATCATGTCACAAATCCTGTGTTTATCGGTGCTATTTACCAAATTATAAAATCAAATACATCTTACCTGCAAAGCATACGAAACAGACAAACCGACTAAAGCCGGTTCCTTTTCTCTTTCTAATACCGCAAATAGAGCAGCGAAGAAGATAATTAAGTTTCCTATAGTCTCCAATCTGAGCGATAACCATCTAGACGATATAATAGTGGGGTACTGACATATTTGGTTAAGATCCACTTTGTTTTCTGAATCTTCGATGAAAACCTCTTGCTTTTTATAGGCTCTATGAAAAAAAAATGAATTAAAGTTAACGCTCTAAAATATTGACTTTATTCACAGATCAGTGTTCTAATAAACGCTACCTAAGGGAGTTTTAGTTCACATACACTTTATTATATAAAAGTTACTAAAAACTTCATGGAAAATGTAAAAATGAAAAAAATGGGGGTTTCCTTCTAAAAATCTAAAGTGTAACGCAGTATCTTATTTTTGGATCACCCTGTATTGTACGGCTATAGATAAAAATTGACGTTTTTCTCAAAATGTACCAGGAGAGTCACAAATGGGGATGGGGGTGCGACCTTTTCGTTGGGCCACCCTGTATAGCATAATGGAATATAATATACTATACTATAACTATCTAAAACTGTAATGACTCATCGATGTTCACGTGAACATCACTTAACTACCAGTAGTCGGCTGTTCATAGGCGGGGTATGAATGTTTAACATGGGTGAACTAGATTTGTCACATGCTTAATAAAGAGTGGTTTGAAACATATTGTAAGTCAAAAATTTGGGAATTACCTTTATTCATCGTCGCTTCCACTTACATCTGACAGTAATAAACTGTCGCTATCGCTTTCCTCGTTGAAATTCACTATAACTGGCTCTATGATGGTGTCGATGTGGTGGTCAAGCTGCCACATTTTTGTTTCTTCCTTCACAACATGACGGATAGCATTCTGCCAAGCTTCGGGCGTTACTAGCTGTATGGAAGTCTCAAGTAAAACCTTAACGTCTGGTAATTTGAAGGTTGTGTTATGGCGCGCAATATAACCCTTCACTTGAGCCCAGATGAGCTCTATTGGGTTCAGTTCACAGTGGTAGGGCGGTAACCGCAGCACAGTGACACCACATTGACGGGCCATCTCATCAGTCACGTAACTAATGTTCGCAGGTTTGTGCTGTTTAATTTTTTCATACAATTCCGCTTTCACACATGAATCGTCAAACGGGATTCCTTTTTCGCGCAACCATTGCTGCATGTCACTTTTTCGAGATCCCATAGTCGGTACACGTTCGGCTCGACGACTATGGTAGGAAGCACTATCCATGACGATCACAGAGTTGGGCTCAACTCGCTGAAGCACCCCTTGAAACCAGCTCTCGAAGCAGCTGGCATTCATTTCGTCATGGTAATCACCTCCTTTCTTAGAGACGAAAATCAAGTCACACTCTTCTAAAAAGCCACTATCGCTACCAATATGAGTTACGATCAATCTTTGACCTTTCCCTGACGGTCCACGAAGACCTGTTGACAAAACTTCAATGCTTGCTTGTCGATTACTCACTACGTTTTTGTCTATCCAGGTTTTTTTAACTGTGTGACCTGCATTTATCCATGACTCGTCCAAATAATAGATTTTTCTGCTTTGTCGCCTATATTCAATCATTTCGCGTAGGTATTTTCGACGCCAGGCGACTATTTCAGGTCTCTCTATCAATACTGACTACCGATTACGCGTTTCGTAACGAAAATTAATTTCGTGCAGGGATTTCCTCATTACCTCGACGCTCATTTGGGGTATAATTTCATTTTCCTTGATCGCTGCATGTACAGCCTTGAGGGTTGGTATCTCATTCCTAAAGAAGAATGAATGTACGGTTCGCCTTAACGCCATTTTGCTATCGTCATCCAATTTAACGGCCTATCGTCCCTTCAAATTAAACTTTGGATCAGTAGTAGCTCCAGTTTTCTTCTTTTCATGCACCACCCTGCGAATGGTCCACTCTGGAACGCCTGTCATACTTTCACAATGCGCGAGTGTATCTCCCTGCGACATAGTTCTGTTCAGATAATTGAACACGTTGAGCACGATTTCTTTCGCGTCCCTCTTCAGTACTTTACGAAGCCGTCTACTTGTTCCCTGGCTTTAAGTACTTCCACTCGTACCATTTGTACTCTCCATGGTTAAGTATAACCAAAACAGTAACCACAGAAACCACAACAATAACAATCACACAACAATTCTTATAAAAACACACAATATGCGATCGCTCAACGAAACACGTTCCAATGCGTTGCCGACGCCTATGAGTCTGCCGGTCGAGGCGCGTCTTTGATTTCATTGGTTCTACCGGCGGAGAACAATCAGCCATTATTTCCATCTCTGTCTGTGCTGTTGATCACCGCAAAGCCACAGAAACGACATATGTCGTACGCTATACGGCTGTACTGGAAGGAAGCCGGGATCGAGCTCTGATCACGTGTTGATCACGTGTATGAGTCATTACAGTTTTAAATAGTTGTAGTATAGAAATAAAAATAAACAAATAATCATTGCGACGCCAAAGTAATAATGTCTTATATATACGTAGGTCCAAAATTATAAAGAAAACATGATTATGGAAAATAGATTTATAAGAGTGGCTATTGAATACTGGTACAAAATTGAGGTATTAAATTTATATCATATAGATTTTTTCTAGACCTTATCCATCAATTTATTGTAACTACTGGGTTCTATGTTATATGTGTTAAAAGGATATTTTCGTTTTGTGAAGTATTAAGTTTATTCACAATTTATAATTGATGTGAATAAATATTATTATTTTTGAGACGAAAGTCAATGCTCCTCACTTTTTAATTATATGATTTGAAAAAGGCTGCCGAAAAGTAAAATATTTTTTCCAACGTCTGTGGTTTGACTTAGTGACGGAGTTGAACTAAGACAATCTTAAGATCAGGAGTTATTGTGAAAAAAATGAGGTTACCTACTGACCTTATGCATTGAGCTCCACTAAGCGTTTCCCCGAAGTGCGAGTATATAGGTGAGGCGGTGACAGACGACAGTCTCATCACCTGCCGAGAGGTAGCTACGTATACTCTCTGAATCCATATGTAAAGAATCGCTACAGGGATTATCACAGCTATGAACAGTGGGGTCGAGAAGCTAATCACGAACAAGGTACCACATACCTGAAAAATTCAATAACTTATGCTTAACAAATACTTTCTTTTTTTGTAGTTACATTGTAGAATTCTCTCCAAATTTGGTACAATATAACAATCATACAATTAGCCGTTGAGACAGAATGCGTAGAAGGAACGGCTGATTTTGCTAAAAACACGCGGGTTACAAATTCAAGCAATAGTCTAATCATATTAGTCGAAAATATCCCTGATTTGCGAAATAATTGTAAAGTCTGGTTTTATTGCTGCAAGTTACTCAAGGGGGTATTCAAACATGGATGCATAAAATCGCTACACCGACTTTTGTGGGAAACTTTTTATTCAACAACAAAGATTGAGAAAACGTGTTTTTTAAACAAGATTTTTGGGTATTTACGAGACCTACAAAATGAGACCTTTCGTAAAAAGATTCGACTAATAGCAAAAAAGTTATGACCGAAAACCTACTCAAAATGCAGGTTGGTAATGTGACGATAGTAATACACAGATACTTGATATTGAAGAGTCTTTTCGTTCCTGCTAACGTTTTTGATTGAATCTCAAAAAACGCCTATTCTCATTCTTTGTTGTATAAAAAGTTTTCCCACAAAAATTGGTGTACCTATTTTATATAACACTGGACAGCAAATTTGAGTTTTTTAATTGTATCTTGTGGGAAAAGTGCACTTTGTTAATTTTGGGGCGCTGAATGCAAAAATGACAATGAAATAAAAAAATTAGTTGCGGTTTAGAAAAAAAACTTTTTATTTTTAAGGATATATTAAAAAAAGTAACAAGATTCATATACGAGTACTTATAAGAATCACTATATGCGCTGTCTTTTTGCTGTTCTTTTATGGATCGTTTCTGGAGCATCTCTACCAAGAGTCCAACAGTAGTCTGCAAGCATGGAAGGATTCCACTTTCCCTGGTACCTTTTTTCCATTGTTGAAATATCCTGATGAAAACGTTCGCCGTGCTCATCACTTACGGCTCCGCAATTGTCAGGAAAAAAGTCCAGGTGTGAGTGTAGGAAATGTATCTTAAGAGACATATCACAGCCCGTCTTTGATACGATGGCAGCATATTTTTGACAAGGGTTTTATAGTTGTCAGCTTTTCTATTTCCCAAGAAATTAGTGACCACCAGACGGAAATCATTCCAAGCAGTTTTTTCAATACCTGTTAAAGTGTTTTCAAACTGTGTATCTTTCAAAATATTTCGAATCTGTGGCCCAACAAAAATACCTTCTTTAACCTTTGCCTCACTTAGTCTTGGAAATTTCTGACGCAGGTATTGAAAAGCTGACCCATCTCTATCTAATGCCTTGAAAAAGTTTTTCATTAGGCCCAACTTGATATGCAGTGGTGGTAATAAATTTTTTTTCGAATCTACTAATGGCATATGCTGTACATTTTTTTGACCTGGCTCTAGGAATTGACGAACAGGCCAGTTTTGTCTGGTGTAATGAAGTGCCTTTGCCCGACTGTCCCATTCACACAAAAAACAGCAAAACTTTGTGTAGCCTAGCTGCAGCCCAAGTAAAAGTGCAACAACTTTCAAATCGCCACAAATATGCCATTGGTGCTCATCGTATTTTATGCATGTCAATAGGTACTTCATATTGTCATATGATTCTTTCATGTGACCTGCATACCCTACAGGAAGAGATGGTAAAATATTTCCAATATGCAATAACACTGCCGTTAAACTCAATGTTGAACTGTCTATAAACAATCTCCATTCTTATGGGTTATAGTTTATATTTAAAGCCGCCATTAAGCCGTTAATATTACTGCAGAAAACCAAGTTATTCTCCATATTGAAAAATGGTTCTAAGTACTTGTGGCGTTTACGAAAAACATTTTTTTTTTTTTTTTTTTTTTTTTTTATATCGAAACAGCCGCGCAGGCAGAAGCCTAAATGCCGGAACACCGCGGCTGCTATGATGATCCCAAAGAAATTTTGTTAATACGATTTTTGAACTGCCTAAGGTTAGTAGAACTGGGAAAAGCTTCCTCCCGTAGTTTGTTCCACAATCTAGACACCCTCGGGATAAAGGAGCGGTCGTATCGGCCAGTTCTGGATGTACGAAGTTTGACACGGTTAGGATGGGACGCCGAAGTCAGGCGGGTCTGTCTGGCAGGCACATCGCGCGGCGGCATCATGGACGAGAGCTCTGAGGAGCAAAGCCCGTTGGTGTAGCGATAGAAAAGAGCTAGATCGCCGACGGCCCGCCGGTGCGAAAGAGTCCCGAGACTGTCTGTTAGAGAAGAGTCATCGATCAGTCGGACCGCCCTCCTCTGGACAGCATCGAGCATGGACAATGTAGTCGGGGCGGCAGCACCCCAAATGTGTGAGCAATACTCGAGGCTGGGCCTTATCTGGGCCTTGTAGAGAGTGAGAAGGTCATGCGGAGAAAAGTACTTCTTAGCCCTAAACAAATAGCCTAGCTTTTTCCCAGCAGCTGCAGCTATTGAAGAGATGTGTTCGTGCCAGATCAGGTCCTCGGTGATCTGGACTCCGACCAACCGAAATGAATGGCTCTTTGGTAGAACTCGACCGTCCATCGAAACTGTATGAGCGCTAGGACGCTTTTTGTTCGTCAAAGTGCAGTACTGTGTTTTGGAAGCATTGAACTGTACAAGATTGTTGCGTCCCCAAGCAGTGATAGCCTCCAGGTCTCTTGTCAGAGAAGAAGTCGTCGCTAGTCTTCTTTTTTCCAGCTCAGCGGCAGAGATCGGCTTGTCACTCTGAATTCCTGTATGTAGAGTGCTGTCATCAGCGAAGCTGTGGATTGGGTTGATCGTGCAGGAAAGGAGGTCGTTGATATGTAAGAGAAACAGTGTTGGAGCCAAGACCGATCCCTGGGGAACACCCGCGTTGACGTTGTGGGATGAAGAGGAGAATCCGTCAATTACGACGGATATCTTGCGGCCAGAGATAAAGTCAGCCACCCATCTGCAAAGCTTTTCTGGGAGGCCGTAGGATGGAAGTTTGCTCAAGAGGGCAGGGTGCCACAGCTGATCGAACGCTTTCGTGATGTCAAGAGCAACGACATGAGCCTCACCATGAGACTGGATGAGTTTACTCCACAGTTGCGTGACGTAAGCTAGGAGGTCCCCTGTGGATCGTTGGTGCCGGAAACCATACTGCCTGTCGCTAATCAAGCTGTGACGTTCGAGGTAGTCCAGAAGCTCGCGATTTATGCACCTCTCCATCACTTTACTTATAACAGAAAGCAGAGCTACAGGCCTGTAGTTGTAAGGGTCGGTTTTAGATCCTTTTTTTGGGATGGGCTGTACATGAGCAAATTTCCAGTTTTCTGGGAAGGTGCCGGATTCATAAGATATCTGGAAGAGACGCGAAAGAACTGGAGCAAGCTCAGCTGCACATCTCTTCAGTACAATGGCAGGAATCAAGTCCGGACCAGAAGCTTTGTTGATGTCGAGCGACAAGAGCACTCGTCTTACGGTCTTATGCCTGAATGTTACCTCCCGCATAGTGTGGGGAACCCTTTGAATTGACGGCACTTGGGCGTTGATGGGGACGTCCATGGTGGAGTTGGCAGCAAAGATCTTGGCTAGCACTTCCGCCTTGGCCTTTGAGTCGAATACAATAGTTCCATCCTGACACGTAAGTGGTGGAAGGCTACTGTGTGAGAAGTTCTTTTCAATCTGCTTGGCCAGCGTCCAGAAAGACCGACTGCCATTGCGCTGCGACATTACCCTGTGCCTAACTTTTATATCATGCTGGGTTTTGGCATTGTGAACCGCTTCGTTATATTTGTTTCTGGACTCGACGTCGGCTTGTCTGTTCTCTACAGTGGGGTTTTGTAAGTAGGTTCTGTGGGCCTTGATCTTCTGCTGGCGAGCAGTGTCACACGATTTGTTGAACCAGCCGTTGGACCCTGGTTTAGGAGCTTTCACTGTGTGAGGGATGTATTCCTCCATTCCGACGTGGATAATTTCGGTTATTGAAGAACAGACAGTCGACGCATCCGCGTCAGTGAAACAGACATCTCTCCAAGGAAAGCTAGAGAAGAAGTCTCTGAGCCCCTCCCAGTCGGCATGTCCGTAATGCCAAGTTTTGCGGCCTGTGCGAGTTTCTGCGGCCACAGCGACTTCTGACCGAAACCTAACCTCCACAACACCGTGATCTGAGTTACCCAGGGGGGACAGGACGGCAGTGCTGTAAGGGGCAGGATGCGTGGTCAGAAAGAGATCCAGCAGGCTACTGGCGTGTGACGAGACGCGGGGGAAAAAAGTAGGGCTCGTCACCAGCTGGGTCAGCCCTTGAGTAAGAGCGAACGCTTCGACTGCACGACCTGCTGCATCGGTCTTATTTGAGCCCAACCAAAGCTCATTATGGGCATTGAAATCACCGAGAACAACTACCTCTGAAGCGGGGTGGTTGATGTTCAGGAAGTCGATCTGGACGGCGAGGTATTCGAGTAGGTCATCCCAGTTATGGTTCGAGGGAGAGCGATAAAGGCAGCAAATAAATTTGGGTGATGTTTTGGAGTTGAGGCGAAGCCACAGAATGTCCTTCCGGTCTGATTCCAAAGAAAGATCCCTGGAGCAGGAAAGACTGCTGCGGACAAAAGCCACAACTCCCCCGTTCTTTCTCAGATTGGAGTGCACCTCATAGTTTGGGAAGTTGAGATGGTTAATCGGTGCAGCCTCTGAGATTTTTGTCTCCGCCAAGAAAAGCACGGCGGGACGATTGGATTGCAGGTAGTGATGAACAGCATCAATGTTGCTGTTGATCCCGCAGATGTTGGAAAAACAAATTTTATCTTCGATGTTGTTCCCTCGAGCCCACCCTCCACCCGGACATTCCGAGAGTGGAGTGAGTTTACGTCCGGAGTTTTTAGTGCTCGAGGGATCCATCATCATTAATTTCTTTGTTTTGGTAGATAACCGACTGCATAGCTTAGGTGTGGAAACATGCGGACATTTATAAGACACCCTGGGAAAAGCTAGCGGGTGGTACTGCCTCGGTCGACTGGTCCTTGTCTACCACCTTCTTTTTATATATTAGTGATGTTAAATAGACCTAAAGTGGCCCGTTGGCGGACTTGTACCGCCACCCGGCAATCGGTACTGAGGTATTCCTTAACGCGAGCGCAATCACTTGGACGGGAAGAAGTTGTATACTGGATACAACGACTTCCGGAACAAGCATTTGCCACGGCCCTCGCTCAGTAGGGGCTACAACGTTACGTTACGTTATGTTTTTGTTATATACATAAATATATGTATGTATTTGCATTTTTTAATAAATTTTTGTATGAAAATGTCTTTGGAAATTGAAATGTTATTTTTAAATTATATATATTATATATAATTATTTCATTAAAGAATGTAATCAAAAATACAAAGACGTATAGTCATTCCTAACGGGAAGCGGAGAGATCAGCGCGAAGTAAAATGTTGATTTGGAACAGGAAGCGGATAAATCAGCAAGCGGCGTTTTCCCCGTAAGGACAGACAGATGTCGTAACAAGTCGTCCGTTGCGAAAGGGTTAATAGGTCGAGAAATGTAATCATATTCTAATCTTTTTACAAATTGAAATAAATGGTAATAGCTGTGACTAATAAACCAAGAAATAATTCTAAATAGTGCAAACGAATCAACAGTCAATTGAAGACGCAAGTTGATAAAGGTGTCATGTCAAAATCATTGAATCTAGAAAATTGACTTAAAACATTTTTTATTGGGACTTCTCACTTTACTGAAATTTTGAATATTCAGTTCAATTAGCTTGTTTTTATCCAGTGGCGAAGCGTTCATGTAACCATTGTTACCATTGGTAACAGTTGAAAATCTTAAAAATAAATATTTTATGACTAAGTAATAATTTCATTTATTTGTTTACCAACAGCGATATGTAATAGTAATTCAGTAAATAGCAAATTAGCCCCATGGAAACAATGCGCCCTATAGTGTCTACGTTTTGCGAACACGATGAAGCTGACTCGCCTCGACTTTCTAATGAAATACATATACCGAAACATCGTCTTCTAACAAGTTCCACTGCTGCAGTCTTGATCCAAGTAACTCTGCCTTACATTTTGGAAGTTCTAAATCTCTTACAAGATCATTTAATTCTGACTGTGTTATTTTGTGCGGTTGGTGGCATGACGTGCTCGATATAAAATCAGGATCTCTTGACGTTGATGGCATATCTTCTTCCTGACGAATCACTCGATCGCCATGATCTGATTCGTTTTCTGATTCGCAAGTGTAGGATTCTGGGGGTTTTGGAATAGGATTTTCGTCACTGTGAGGCACAGGTCTCATCGCAGATGGTATGTTTGGGTAGTTAATAACCGATTTTTTTTTCTTGGACATACCTGTGGCTTGTCCAACACAAGGTACCATGCAAAAGTAACAATCATTAATATGATTTGTAGGCTCTCTCCAAACCATTGGGACAGCAAAGCGCATAGACCGTTTTTTGCCATTTAACCAGCTCCTCAGACTTGAAGCACATGTATTACAGCAGATGTGGGGTGCCCACTGTTTGTCTTGATCACCTAGTTTACAACAGAAATAAAGCTGATATGCCTTTGTTATTAGTGGAGTAATAGACCGTCTATGAGACGCAAAAGTCACATCACCACACACGTAACAAAACTGATCTGGATTGTTTACACACTTTCGAGGCATCTTGCATGAACGCTGTCAGCCAACTGAGGAAAAAATGGCTAATATAAAACAATATAATTTACACGTATCTATAACGTAACACAATCATGCCGATTACATCATCTTTCCTTGCCGAATATAAAAATGTAGCACGTGCATTCTTGTGAATTACAGTATGTTAACACTGTCACAGCAGGAACACATATAATTACCGTATCTCTAAAACTTGAACTAATATTGAAAAAATAAGTTACATTCCGGTTTTAGCACATTAAAAATAGTAATATTTTGTTGATTTTATTTAGGATATTTTTTGGCTGTTGATCAGTGTAATTTGCATCAATAAAACCAAACTTTACAAATGTTTCGCAAACCAAGGTAAATTTCGTCTGATTAGACTAGAACTAGATATACTATAATAATTTTCTAATAAACATTTTTCTATGTGTATTGTATGTGTATGTGTTATTGTCAAAATTCCCAGTCACTAAAGTGTCTAGGTATGTGAGCAATAGCTCCTAATACGGTCCTGAGTTTTACCAGACTTACACCCGATCCAATTATTGCCAACGTTATAGTCTAATACTGATTGTCCGTAGGTGGTAGACGGTGTCTGACTGTCGAACGCGGGGGTACCACCCGGCGGATCTCGTAGGCGGAGCCAGAATGTGTGCATGTTGCATGGACACGTGTTCCCCCTTTCCCCTGTATTCCCCTATAGCCCCACGGTACCCAATGGGTGTTTAGGCCTTAGGCCTTCGTGGTAAAAAAAGCTGTTTATCTCAGTAGACGTCAAAACGTAATGGATATTCGTGAAATAGGCTCTATCCAATAAATTCTTAGTATTCCACTAGTCGGTTACTCTTACCCTAACAATGGTGCTCATCAGCATCTGGAAGGCATTCGGTAGCCTCAGATCAATCCCGTTGATATCCTGAGAGAACCTTCCTAGCACCCTGCCAACGGGTGTGATGTCGAAAAATGCGCACGGTACCCGCATCACATTGTGCAGGAGCTGCCTGTGAATCTTTACCGCTGCTCTGATGGTGCCCTTGGCGAAAAGGAGGTTGCTTAGCATCGTTGAGAAGGCTAGAAATGAAAAACATTCAAAATGCTTATATATACTATATTATAATATTTTTTTGAGAACTGTTTGGGAATAAAGGCATTTATTATTATTAATATTCTACTTTCTAATGAAAAAAGGTTTACAGTAATATTTTGGAGCAGTTTCTGTAGATTAGGTCTGGAGTAGTGATAGCTGTTTGTTTATGTTGTTGTTGTTCTTCTTCTTCCTACTTTATTAATAGGCTCATGTCTGTTTTATTTCGGTTTTTAGCCTCAATTGATGTTGTCTGATAATCTTTTCCTTGGTCGTCCTATTGATCTTCTTCCATTTGACGATTTATCTCTTGCTATTCGTACTGTTCTATTTTCTGTCATTCTTTCTATTTTTCTTCTTTTGGTCCACAGGTTTATTTCCTCTATACCACATCTCGCTCGTATTTCCCCACTTCTTACTGTTACTTTCATTTCTGCTGTTTCCAATAATCTTTGTGTTTTCGCCGTATCTGCTCTTGTTTCCACTGTGTACGTCATTATCGGTCTTATTGTTGATTTATATCTCCTAGTTTTCGTTTTCGTTGTAAGGTATTTGTTGCTCCAGATTGTATTGTTGAGACATCCTGCTGCTCTGTTCGCCATGTTCACTTGTTTTTGTACTTCTTCTTCCACGTTTCCATTGCTTGACAGTTTGATTCCCAGGTATTCCGTTTCCATCACTTGTTCTATTATTTTGTTATTTACGACCTGTTTACATCGTCTCGATTCCGCTGATATCACTATCGATTTAGTTTTCTCTGTCGAAATCACCATGTTGTATATGAGCGCCGTATGTCGTTTTTCTCTATCACGCTTGAAGCTGAATATGGAACTAGCCCACTTTGTCTTTTGTTTGCATGGATGAAGCGATTGTTTTCCTTAATTTTGATGTGTTGTTCTATTGAAAGGTTAATAGCTCAAAATCTAGTAATTTTATTTGAATCAAACCTTCCAAAAAAACTCATAAAAAATGAATCCAAACTGGCACAAATATACAGGGTGATGCATTTGAAATTTTTGACAAAAAGTACAATTCGCGTTTTCGACCACCCTGTATGAGCAAAAATGAAAAATTGCAATACTAACAAATAAGATAAAAGATGAGGTGTGTAAGTTTTTTTTATATAAAATTCAGCACTGCAAATTTCAAAATGGCGGATTGAGGGGTTGCTGAAGTGGACGGTTTTTGTGGACAAAACACCTTACATCTCAGTAGCTAATTACCAAAACCCCATAGTATGTTATATGAATCTTCTTATTCTGAATTGGTTTATCTAAATAAGCAATAAAATTTGAGGCATTCCATTTAAAAGATAATTTTGATATGTAGGTCAAAATTGGGACTCCCTGTATAATTGCCAATATTTTAGAAATGTGCCCTCAAATGTCATGTATAACATGCTATAAATAGATTTTCCCAAAATTTATTTGTTGATGAATAATATTCCGTCCACACATGGATGGGCCACCCTGTATATATACGTATATCAAATAAAGACATTGAGACTGCAATAGAGCTGTTGAATAATGATATGAAAAACATAATTAGTTGAATGTGAATAACTCAAGTTAAACACAAAGAAAACCAAAATATGCTTATAAGAAAATCTTTAGATGAAAATACGACAAATCTTACGATTAATCATGAAAAAATTTAGTCAATCGAAGCATTTAAATATTTGGGCATATACGTAGATAGTAAATTAAAATTTGAAGGGCACTATGAATACGTTATTTCCAAAATATCTAAGCGTTTATTCCAAAAAAAATGTTTACAACACATTCTTCCTTATTTGTTATATTGTTCGACTATTTTTTGTTCACTGCTAACGAGACTGTAATTTCAAAATTACAAAATAAAGCAATGAGAATCATCTCAAATAAAAATAAATATACTAGATTAAATTTTATGCTGAAAAAACTACAATGGTTAAATATCAAAAATTTCATAACCTAAATTTGGTTTCCGTTTTCATATTCAAGTTAAAAAATCATCTACCAAATTTTGTTGAATTGAACAATGACAGTTGTTATTCTACTAGAGTATAGACTTTCATTTACAAAATTGTAGTAGCAATATTTCAAACAAATCAGAATTTCAGAAAGGATTGTACGAATTTAATAAATTTAGTAACGATATCAAGATGTGGCAGTTTGAAAATGTTTAAAGAGAAATTTTCATGGAAAACCGGAATTTATAGTAGTAAGATTTTTATACAAATTATACAGACTTGAAGATATGATATATATATACAGGGTGACTTTGAAGTTGAGTCATTAATTTTCAGATAATGATTGTAGAAGGAAGATAAACCAAAATATGTGTGTAAAAATAAAAAAAAAAATTCCCTTGTTTTATAAAGTATCCTCCCGACAAGTATTTCAGTGCGGACCTGTATTTGATCGTGAGGTCTTGGAGCACCGGCATGCCGTCCCCTGTGAGGTCTTAAGTCACCTGATTCACGAGCCCGTTGTACTACATTAACAAAGGCACGAGGGGTTGGTTGCACTCGATTGGGAAACCGATCCGCATAAACATGTGCCATTTTTTATTTCGTTTGAGCCACGCAATAGATATCACTATTCACTCACGCGTTACCGACTGACACTGACTGTATACAACTGAATAAAATAATTGTAAAAACATCGTTCCAAATTCTTTCGCTTTTTTGTTTCCGATGCGATGAACCGATAAGGCGGATTATATCCGTTGTTGCCAAATACGAGCACATAATATTATTATTGAGACAGGGCGGTACTCAAACTTCCAAAGGGCTATAACTTTGTTACTTTAATTTTACTACAAAAATGTTAAAAGAAAAAACATTTCTGTATACTTCGAAGTTGAGTCATTTATTTTAACAGTGAGTAGATCTGATCAAAAGAAATGAAATGAAACGCTGATCACGATGTTTTTATTCAGTCGATGTGTCAGTCGGTAACGCGTGAGTTAATAGTGGTGTCTGTTGCGTGGCTCAAACGAAATAAAAAATGGCACATATTTATGCGGATCGGTTTCCCAATCGAGTGCAACCAACCCCTCGTGCCTTTGTTAATGTAGTACAACGGGCTCGTGAATCAGGTGACTTAAGACCTCACACTGAAATACTTGTCGGGAGGATACTTTATAAAACAAGGTAAAATTTTTTTTTTTTATTTTTTTTATTTTTACACACATATTTTGGTTTATCTTCCTTCTACAATCATTATCTGAAAATTAATGACTCAACTTCAAAGTCACCCTGTATCTATAATGTGATACGCTGTGTAATATTGATATTGAAGCATTAATGCTAAATAAATCTACAACAAACAAATATGAAGAAAAACTTAAACTAAAGATTGTTTACCTTGTCCAATGCCCAGAACACCATATACAGCCAAATACATATCCCTCTTCGCCGTGTTCACTGTCCCGTTGATCATAGTATCGTTATCGTCAGCCCAAATTCCTACCCATACGTTTGAACCCACGCTGAAGGCTTGGTACGTTATGTTCAGGAGTAAGACAGATAGCATTAACCATACTCCGATTGATGCAATGTAGTGTTTATATACCTCCCATTTCACGTTTCCTGTAAAAAAATGCATTTTTTTGTATGCAGTATCAGACGGCAGCTTCTCGACTACATAAAATAATGCCACAAGTTTATGCAAAAAAATAGCGTCAAATAGGTTGACTCACGCAACGCTGTCGTCAGTTCATAAGGGGACCCTCAACGAATTAAAGCGAAGCTTTAGATAAGAAATGGCGGCAATCTCAAGAGCAACTTGCAGGCGAGTGTTCGACGATCTGAGGTTCTCTTTGGAAGAGATCTGGATTAAATTGCCAATATCCTTTTATATTATCAAAATTAGCAAACTTTTCTAGGTACAGGCGTAAATTTTGTTATGTCCCATCCTGAATAACCAAAAATCACACGGATCAAGTTAGTTAAACAGAGTCATATAATTAAAATACCCTCTATAGTTCTATAGGATTTGGCTCCATGAGAAAATATGTAGGCTGTACCGCGAAGCATGTGATGGACTCGCGAGGGTCGGAAATATTTATCCACCATTCCAAGTTGTAAGGACAAGTGTGAAGGCAGATATACCCTCCCCCACTTTTGGATATCAATTTCCATAACTGGTGGAACAACAAATTGCGCCGCTATAGCAATTTCGTTGAAATCTTTCAGTTGCAGCTTTACTTTTATCGATTGTTTTTGAAAACATTATCTGTTGTCCAATTAACTTATTTTTTATTTGTTTCAGTTTTTCCATTCTGGTTGCAGAACGTAATGGGAATAATTTTTCAAAATTCGAATGTACAGTTTTATAGTGGCTCTCGGTATTCCCTTTTTTAGTAACCGAAACAGATGTATTACATAACAAACATACATTTTTACCTTTAACTTCTTCCCATTCCGAAAGGAAATGGTATGTCTTCATCTTCTTACTACTGCTCATAATGTTTTTAAAGCACAGGCCAACTCTAGCCCCACCGCTGGACTTTGTGCAGTTCATTTTTAAACTGAGCGCACTGGCGCCGCGCCTTGCGTATTTATTCCGTTCAAAGTAATCGAGATCGTTCTCGAACAGATCGCTCACCGCAGTGTTGCCGCTGCTTGTGTTTATTATGAGAATTTATAAAATTTACGGAAGCTTCTATGATTTTTACACCTTTTTAAAATACGTTGTGAGCCACCTGAATTCTGCTCTATATGATCCTTACCTGTTTCTGCTTTTTCGGCTTCGATCAGCTTCCCCTTTTTCACTTTGGCAGATTCCTTTCCTAGTGATTCGGTTGACTTTACCATCTTGTTTATGCTCCTGATACTTTTTTGACTAGCTACCGATATTTGACCCTGATACAAGCCATTGCGTATTTATTCCGTTCAAAGTAATCGAGATCGTTCTCGAACAGATCGCACACCGCAGTGTTGCCGCTGCTTGTGTTTATTATGAGAATTTATAAAATTTACGGAAGCTTCTATGATTTTTACACCTTTTTAAAATATGTTGTGAGCCACCTGAGTTCTGCTCTATATGATCCTTACCTGTTTCTGCTTTTTCGGCATCGATTAGCTTCCTCTTTTTCACTTTGGCAGATTCCTTTCCTAGTGATTCGGTTGACTTTACCATCTTGTTTATGCTCCTGATACTTTTTTGACTAGCTACCGATATTTGACGCTGATACAAGCCATTGCGTATTTATTCCGTTCAAAGTAATCGAGATCGTTCTCGAACAGATCGCACACCGCAGTGTTGCCGCTGCTTGTGTTTATTATGAGAATTTATAAAATTTACGGAAGCTTCTATGATTTTTACACCTTTTTAAAATATGTTGTGAGCCACCTGAATTCTGCTCTATATGATCCTTACCTGTTTCTGCTTTTTCGGCTTCGATCAGCTTCCCCTTTTTCACTTTGGCAGATTCCTTTCCTAGTGATTCGGTTGACTTTGCCATCTTGTTTATGCTCCTGATACTTTTTTGACTAGCTACCGATATTTGACGCTGATACAAGCCATTGCGTATTTATTCCGTTCAAAGTAATCGAGATCGTTCTCGAACAGATCGCACACCGCAGTGTTGCCGCTGCTTGTGTTTATTATGAGAATTTATAAAATTTACGGAAGCTTCTATGATTTTTACACCTTTTTAAAATATGTTGTGAGCCACCTGAATTCTGCTCTATATGATCCTTACCTGTTTCTGCTTTTTCGGCTTCGATCAGCTTCCCCTTTTTCACTTTGGCAGATTCCTTTCCTAGTGATTCGGTTGACTTTACCATCTTGTTTATGCTCCTGATACTTTTTTGACTAGCTACCGATATTTGCTGATACAAGCCATTGCGTATTTATTCCGTTCAAAGTAATCGAGATCGTTCTCGAACAGATCGCACACCGCAGTGTTGCCGCTGCTTGTGTTTATTATGAGAATTTATAAAATTTACGGAAGCTTCTATGATTTTTACACCTTTTTAAAATATGTTGTGAGCCACCTGAATTCTGCTCTATATGATCCTTACCTGTTTCTGCTTTTTCGGCTTCGATCAGCTTCCCCTTTTTCACTTTGGCAGATTCCTTTCCCAGTGATTCGGTTGACTTTACCATCTTGTTTATGCTCCTGATACTTTTTTGACTAGCTACCGATATTTGACGCTGATACAAGCCATTTCCTGTCCTTTCAGATGCTGATTCGGATATTGATTCGGACACGCGTAGTCTGCTTCTACTTATTCTTCTGACCTCTTCGCCTATTGCGGTGTCGTTTAACTGATCAGTGATCTCGTCTAATTCTGGAGCAGAAGATGATATATAATATTTTTCTAATTTTTATCATCAGCAACCAATTCAATATACGTACAAGGTCTTCGAAAAATAGACGGAGATATTTTAGAGAGCGATTCCTTGTTAAAAAATATGAAAAAAGCTCCTATAAGCATGGATCCGGAAATGCAGAGTTTTCAAGATACAGGGTGATAAATTAAAAAAATATTATCTTTAAAAATATCAACGCAATTCTTTTGAAATCTGGCAATATAATTTGTTGTATTAAGGTGCTAATGTAGCTAGTGGATTCAGGAAGAAACACCCAACTGAAACGGCAACACAAATGGTTTTAGAGGACTGGATCAGATGTATGGACAATGGGAAACATACAGTTACAGTGTTTTTCGACTTCAAAATTGCGATTGACACTATTGACAGGGATAAATTACTTACAAAATTGCATCTCTGCTGTTTTAAAGGATCTGTGTTCAAAATTCTACAAAACTATTTAATTGACAGAAGTCAAAAAACCAAAATTGGATCTACAGTATCAAGATCAAAAAATATTTCTGTTGGTATACCACAAGGTAGTAAACTAGGTCCACTACTGTTCATTTTATACATTAATGACATTTGTAATATTTTAGATTATTGTAAACTTCAGATATTTGTAGATGATACATTAATACATCCTATACATATCAGATGAAAATATAGACACTGCTTTAAAAATGATAAATTCTGACTTGGCAAAAATCGTAAATTGGTTAAATATAAATAAACTAAAATTGGATACTTCTAAACCAAAATGTATGCTAATAGGGAAATACCGGTCTCGAACGGATGCGAATCGAAATCATTACAATGAACTGAGAAATTTTACAAAAACTGCTACACGTGCAGAGAAATCAGGCTACCTTCAACATCTATCTCGACAAAGAAACTCTGCAGCTCTTTATAAAGCTCTTAAGTCATTTAGAATTCAGGATTCTAGTAATACTGACATTCCAGATGATTTAGCAGTTCCCAATGAAATAAATGACTATTTTACCAGTATATTCCAGAAAAGTGACGATGATTGCTCGGAAACTATCGAATTTTATAGCCATAACAAATTAAACCAAGATTTTCATTTTCAGTTCCGTCTTGTCGATATATCTACAGTATTGGATGCTATTCGCAGTATCAAGTCCAATTCTAGTGGTATTAATGGCATTACCATTGAGATGATTAAATTGTGTCTACCTGCTGTAGGAATATACATTTTGCACTTAATAAATTGTTGTTTAGAGCGCGGTGTTTTTCCAAGTGCTTGGAAGGAAGCATTAGTGCAACCTCTTCCAAAGATTCCCAATCCCCAGGTTCCTGGTGATCTCCGACCTATTAGCTTGCTGTCAGCTCTATCAAAAATTCTAGAAAAAATAGTTTATATGCAGTTGAATGAGTATTTACTCGAACGCAGCATTTTGCCATTAAATCAATCAGGCTTTAGAAAGGGTCACAGTACCACTACCGCTTTGGCACGGGTTTGTGACGATGTACTAACAGCGGCGGATAGGCAAGAAGCAACTGCATCAGTCTTATTGGATTTCAGCAAGGCTTTTGACACCCTGAATCATAAGCTGTTAGTTTCTAAATGTAAATACATTGGGTGTGACGACTTTGTTCTGGAATGGATAGATTGCTATTCATCAATATGTCGTCATACAAAATAAACTTTCAGACAAAAGGCCGATTTGTTCCGGCGTGCCTTAGGGATCCATATTAGGTCCACTTTTATTCCTTATATACACCTTTGACATTTCTAACGCCCTTCAACATTGTTCTAGTCAATCATATGCTGATGATATGCAGGTTTTTCATAATTTCTGTCCGAACAACTACCATTTAGCTAACAACCTTATCAATCAAGATCTGCAATACTTATGGACATATGCTGCAAAACATAATTTACGTCTAAACGCATCGAAATCGACAGCTATACTTTTTTGCTCCAAGAAAACACGTACTTTCCTCAAATCAAAGTTAAATTTATCACTAAATAATAGTATCCTAATATTTTCCCATTCTGCAAAAAATTTAGGTTTGTACTTGGATCAAGATTTCAGATTTCAGGAGCATGTTGGCTATGTGTGAAAGTCTAGTTATTTTAGACTCAGGCTTCTATATGCAAGTAAAACTGTTTTAAATAGAAAAATTAAGAAAATTTTATGCGAGTCACTCATACTCAGTAAAATTGCTTACTGCAACATAGTTTATTATCCCTGTCTGGATGAAATCACAAAATACAGACTGCAAAAAATTCAAAACTCATGGTAGTCGTTACATAAACAATTTAAGAAGGTACGATCATGTTTCTCACTCAATATCTTCAATGAATTGGTTGAAAATGTCTCATCTTTTCAAATACAACTTTGTTACATTTGTCGTAAAAATATTAAAAACTTCTGTTCCGGTTTATCTTATGCAAAAGCTTGTTCGTAGGAATTTAATTCACAATTTGAATACGCGCAACATTATTCTCCTGACAATGCCACAACATAGGACAGCCAGTTTTCAACGGTCTTTTACGTATAATGCGGTGAAATTGATCAACTCTTTCGAACAATGTTTCATCAGCAACTTTTCTATAAAAAAAAATAAGAACTACTTATTGAGCTCTTAGGTTATTGTCTGCTCTTTGAATCGTACGTATTATGTTCTTTGTTCTAATCGTACGCATTATGTCATATTTATTAATTCTTCTTTTACTATTATTCTTCTTTTTCCTTTTCTTTTTCAGTTTTTTATTTTATTTTTAAGGTAGTAATAAGGATTGACATGACATTTATGGTTAAGTATAAATGGCCATTGGCCAGACTTCGCCATTTGTAAGGATACATAATTATGTATGTGTTACAATAAAGTCCATTGAATTGAATTGAATTGAATTGAAATCACAGTTAGGATAAATGGAGAAATAATTGAAAATGTTGAATAAATTAAACATTTACATTATTACATATATTGATAGTAAACTAAAATTTGAGGATCACTATGAATACATAATGTAAAAAATTGCTAAAAAAACAAATTACTTTTATAGGGCTTCTCATAGTATTGGTACCTACAAGTCTTGCAAAATAAAGCTATGAGAATAATATTGAATAAAAACAAGTACACCAAAATAAAATCTATGTTACAAGAATTGCAGTGGTTGAATATAAAAAATTTCATATCATATTTGGTTCTTATTTTTATATTTAAAATGAAATATCATCTTTTGCCAGAACATTTAGAACACTACATAGAATTGAATAATCATTACTACAATTATTATACAAGAGGAAATACAGATTTTCAGCTACAAAATTGCAATAGTAATATAGCTAGCAAATCAATATTTCAGAAAGGATTACTTGAATTTAATAAATTAAATAATGATATAAAGTCTACTTGTAATTTAAAGATATTTAAAAGAAAATTAAAGGAATATTTCATGGACAATTAAAATGCTTAGAGATGCAAATTTTGTTTTTTTTCTGAATGTCTGTATGTTATGTAATTGTTTAGTTTTTTAGAAGAATGTAATTGTAGCAATCATGCTAAATAAATCTTAAACAAACAAACAAAAAGCCCTAAATAAATTGCATGAACGAATATTATTGGCAAAAAATGTACGCCACTGCCTTTTTTGTAACTTTATTTGTTTTTTGATTAAGCATCTAAAAATACAATACAAGGTGTACGGAAATGGATGGTGGTCATTTCCAACATTGGTTGTAGTGTACCTTATGTCATGTTACCTATTGGAAAAATTGCAATAAGTCTTTTTCCTAGAATTTTTTTGGGAATTTTGTTTTCCAAGGCGCTTTTGATTTTTTTTAGCAAAAATTAATAAACCATTTTTTTCCAGTGACATGTATAATAAAACGGTTTTTATTTTTTTTTTCTCGAAAACGTAGTGCGATACGAAAAAAAAAACAAGTGACAAAGAATTTGTGTTTTTAGATGCTTAGTCAAACAACAAACATTAAAGTTACAAAAAAGGCAGTGACATACATTTTTTTGCCAATGATATTTGCTAAGGTGCCCCCGGGACCCTAATCTAAGATATTAATAAAAAAATATCACCGTTATCTTGAAAACTCCGGACCCATTTTGATGTGAGAGACCGACACTTGCAATTTTTGAAGGTCTGTGTATTAAGGTCTGAGTAGTCAGCAAAAACAACATATTAAGGAGCTCACAATACCATTTTATCCGTTATTCTTGAGGTTCAGAAACATTGAACATAATCGAAAAAATGTGTGTTGTAACTTCCTAATTCAAAATCTTCATAAATTTCTTGTTTGTGTGTGTGTGTGTGTCTTTGCTTTACTATCAGTTTAAGAAAGGTTTTGGACAACATACTTGTATATCATATTACCTGTTTCATCGTCAATCTCTTCATTCAAATGCTGCAATAAAAATTCTGCAAATGCTCCTTTCCCATTCAGAAGTTCTAGATACGTTCCAGATTCTGAAACTTTTCCATCTTTAAGAACAATCACCTTGTCTGTTTGTGGAAGGTAGGTTATTCCATGCGTAACAAGAACCTGAAAAATTATGGGTGATTTTTTTGCTAGTATCTTTTTGGCAACACTGTTTTTGACAGATGACGCGTGAATCGTGTCTTGTGTCATTGTCAAACTTGTTCAGTTTGGTCTATAATTTAACCATGAATCGACTTACGAACGAACAACGCTTGCAAATTATTGAATGTTACTATCAAAATGCATGCTCGGTTAAGAGAGTGCATCGAGCACTGCTTCCAATTTATGGGCAATTTGGTCGGCCTACTGAGGGAGCTATTCGGAAGCTTGTGACTAAATTTCGAACCCAGTTTACATTATTGGACATTAAACCACCAACACGCAGACGTAGAGTGAGGACTGAAGAAAATATTGGGGCTGTATCCGCCAGTGTTAGTGATGACCGTGAAATGTCGATTCGCCGCCGTTCGCAGCAATTGGGCCTCTGTTACTCCACTATGTGGAACATTTTGCGACAGGATTTGGGTGTAAAACCTTATAAGATACAGCTGGTGCAAGAATTGAGGCCACACGACCTCCCACAACGTTTCCAATTTGGTGAATGGGCGCTGGCAAAGTTGGAGGAAGATCCACATTTTTATCGAAAAATTGTGTTCAGCGACGAAGCTCATTTCTGGTTGAATGGGTACGTTAACAAGCAAAATTGCCGCATCTGGACTGAAGACCGGCCAGAAGCATTGCAAAAGCTACCTATGCATCCCGAAAAAATCACTGTTTGGTGTGGATTATGGGCCGGTGGCATCATCGGGCCGTACCTCTTCAAAGACGACAATGGCCGGAACGTAACTGTGAATGGCGAGCGCTACCGTGCGATGATAACAAACTTTTTTTTGCCCAAAATGGAAGAGCTGGACTTGGCTGACATGTGGTTTCAACAAGACGGTGCCACATGCCACACCGCACACGAAACAATGGCCCTATTAAGAGGCGAGTTCGGTGAACAGTTTATCTCACGTTTGGGGCCCGTCAATTGGCCGCCTATACTACAACTATTTAAAACTGTAATGACTCATACGCGTGATCAACACGTGATCAGAGCTCGATCCCGGCTTCCTTCTAGTACAGCCGTATAGCGTACGACATATGTCGTTTCTGTGGCTTTGCCGTGGTCAACAGCACAGACAGAGATGGAAATAATGGCTGATTGTTCTCCGCCGGTAGAACCAATGAAATCAAAGACGCGCCTCGACCGGCAGACTCATAGGCGTCGGCAAAGCATTGGAACGTGTTTCATTGAGCGATCGCATATTGTGTGTTTTTATAAGAATTGTTGTCTGATTGTTATTATTGTGGTTTCTGTGGTTACTGTTTTGGTTATACTTAACCATGGAGAGTACAAATGGCACGAGTGGAAGTACTGAAAGTCAGGGAATAAGTAGACGGCTTCGTAAAGCACTGAAGAGGGACGCGAAAGAAATCGTGCTCAACGTGTTCAATTATCTGAACAGAACTATGTCGCAGGGAGATGCACTCGCGCGTTGTGAAAGTATGACAGGCGTTCCAGAGTGGACCATTCGCAGGGTGGTGCATGAAAAGAAGAAAACTGGAGCTACTACTGATCCAAAGTTTAATTTGAAGGGACGAAAGGCCGTTAAATTGGATGACGATAGCAAAATGGCGTTAAGGCGAACCGTACATTCATTCTTCTTTAGGAATGAGATACCAACCCTCAAGGCTGTACATGCAGCGATCAAGGAAAATGAAATTATACCCCAAATGAGCGTCGAGGTAATGAGGAAATCCCTGCACGAAATTAATTTTCGTTATGAAACGCGTAATCGGAAGTCAGTATTGATAGAGAGACCTGAAATAGTCGCCTGGCGTCGAAAATACCTACGCGAAATGATTAAATATAGGCGACAAAACAGAAAAATCTATTATTTGGACGAGACATGGGTAAATGCAGGTCACACAGTTAAAAAAACCTGGATAGACAAAAACGTAGTGAGTAACCGACAAGCAAGCATTGAAGGTTTGTCAACAGGTCTTCGTGGACCGTCAGGGAAAGGTCAAAGATTGATCGTAACTCATATTGGTAGCGATAGTGGCTTTTTAGAAGAGAGTGACTTGATTTTCGTCTCTAAGAAAGGAGGTGATTACCATGACGAAATGAATGCCAGCTGCTTCGAGGGCTGGTTTCAAGGGGTGCTTCAGCGAGTTGAGCCCAACTCTGTGATCGTCATGGATAATGCTTCCTACCATAGTCGTCGAGCCGAACGTGTACCGACTATAGGATCTCGAAAAAGTGACATGCAGCAATGGTTGCGCGAAAAAGGAATCCCGTTTGACGATTCATGTGTGAAAGCGGAATTGTATGAAAAAATTAAACAGCACAAACCTGCGAACATTAGTTACGTGACTGATGAGATGAACCGTCAATGTGGTGTCACTGTGCTGCGGTTACCGCCCTACCACTGTGAACTGAACCCAATAGAGCTCATCTGGGCTCAAGTGAAGGGTTATATTGTGCGCCATAACACAACCTTCAAATTACCAGACGTAAAGGTTTTACTTGAGACTTCCATACAGCTAGCAACGCCCGAAGCTTGGCAGAATGCTATCCGTCAAGTTGTGCAGGAAGAAACAAAAATGTGGCAGCTTGACCACCACATCGACACCATCATAGAGCCAGTTATAGTCAATTTCAACGAGGAAAGCGATAGCGACAGTTTATTACTGTCAGATGTAAGTGGAAGCGACGATGAATAAAGGTAATTCCCAAATTTTTGACTTACAATATGTTTCAAACCACTCTTTATTAGGCATTTGACAAATCTAGTTCACCCATGTTAAACATTCATACCCCGCCTATGAACAGCCGACTACTGGTAGTTAAGTGATGTTCACGTGAACATCGATGAGTCATTACAGTTTTAGATAGTTATAGTATAGATCGTGTGATTTAACGCCGTTGGACTATTTCTTGTGGGGCCATGTTAAGGCTAATGTCTACATGGATAAACCAGCAACGATTGACGCACTGGAAGCCAATATTGAAGCATTTATTCGTTAGATACCGGCCGATATGTTGGAGAGAGTGTGCCAAAATTGGACCTTGTGCATGGGCCATCTAAAGCGGAGCCGCGGCCAACATTTTGCATGAAATAATCTTTAAACATTAAATTATATCGACAGTTCTATCGACTCAAATAAAGATTTAATCGTTTTTTCAAATTTTTTGTGTTTTTTTTGAAAATCAAATCCTATACCTCTTAAAAAATCACCCGTTATAAATAGTTATCTGTCGCTCTGTATTCTGCATGATTAAATTCGTAATATTTCAATAGATTCAGTGTTGGTAGTGGAATTTTATTATTAGAATAGGTACTAACAGTAGCTTTTCATCGCTACTCAGGTATTGACGAATCATTGTGAATTAGTGTTTGACAAGCACGATTTTGAAGGCAAAACCTGAATATCAGAATCTCTGAACTGCAAAGATTGTTTGAAATTGTTGAGAGCACAATGATCGAATTTTACAGCAGCTGGAAGGACTCCTCCCCTAAAGCATACCACTGACCTGATTGTCTCTGCGTTATCTGAAACTCCATTATTGCCAAGTATAAATAGTAGTATAAATAGTTTGTCCATAATTATGTATTTTGATAGTGGAAAAAGATTTTGGGTAGTGCTGCAATTTTCATTATTATTCCTAGATGCTGTCCGATAAGCCTTTACACCTATATATTTTCTGAAATGGTCAGATACTAGGTTCGACTTTCTAATGAAATTGGATCATTTAGATGGTTTATTGAAATTTTATTTGATATAGTTGTAATCACCGCTCTTGGCGGTTACATCATCAGCGTCATATTAAATCAGTAAACAGATCGAGTTCGGTACCATGGGCGGATCTTAATCTTCAGCGCCTCTGCTACGCATGAAGTGGGTAACAGGGGAACGCTGTTTTCATTCTCTTCCTAGAAATACTCTAACAAATTTAGCACGAGCTGTCGGCCTTCTCCATTGATCGTATTTCCGGGCATTGTACAATTTATAATGAAGATTCATAACCTGACAACTCAAATTGCACGCCGATGTCAAGCTAGTTGTCACTCTGTAAAATGTTAGCTACTTTTCGCATGTATTTGAATCAATAACAAAATTAGGGTCACATTTTGGGTACTCACTACACAATTTTACTTTGCTGTATCGATACTACTCAAAATAATATCGATATACTCACCCTTGTCTTGTGGCTTAGCAGTCCTTTAGGCCCGATGACATTTTCAAAAATGTGTTTTCCGACATGGCTGTCAACTGCACTCAGTGGGTCATCTAATAGGTAGATATCCGCATTGCTATAAACTGCTCGTGCCAGACTGATCTATCAAGAAAAATAGTTTGTGATATTAAAAGTGGCAGAAGAAATAAGGAAAATGAAAAATACCTTTTTAAAAACAAGTTTTTACTTTGCTGTTCATAAAATGAACTAAAATTTAAAAAATATATTTTGCGCTTGTATACTAAGTGACATATAAATCCGAACACCCAGTTTAAATGGTTTTATTTTAATAAAAGTTGGTGAATGTATTTATCTTACTGTAAATAACAAGTGAAAAAATTTTCAGCCTTATCAGTGGGACATTCCGGTTTTTATACTGCTTTTTTTAATTCACTAACGTTCTAAAAATGAAAAATTTCAGCCGCAGTAAAGAATCAACGTTGGCGGATTTTGGTTCTTGACATCCTTTACGATCGGTTACGATGCCTAGAGTACGGAGACCTGTACGATTTCGTCAACTTAGTGAGTTTGATAGGGGCCGTATAGTGGGACTTCGGGAAGCTGGACTTTCTTTTCGGGCAATTGCAGTAAGAGTGCAAAGAAGTGTAGACACTGTGGTTAGGTGTTGTCAGGCATGGCTTCGAGAAGGCCGTACGCAAAGAGCAAGGGACACTGGACGCCGCCGTAGAACAACAGACCGTGAAGATCGCCGCCTAAGATTATTGGCCTTAAGGGACCGTTTCTCCACTACCAGGTCCATTGCAAATGAATGGTTTGCAGAACACGGAATCATCTATTTCTCCTTGGACCATTCAGCCTCCTAACATCAACATTAAACTGACCAAATTTATCAAGCAAGACACTCTGAGCGAAGTAATCATCCAACACTTTTCATCCATTCGACACCAATACAGCAGTTATAGCGAAATATATACAGATGCCTCCAAATCAGACACATATGTAGGAGCAGCTATAGTAACTCCAACAACAATTGTGGAAAGCAAGTTGCCGCAGTCAGCTACAGTGCTCACTGGTGAAATATACGCCATACTTGAAGCTGTTCGGTATGTTAAACAAAGCTCAACCAACGATTGGATTATCATAACGGACTCACTAAATTCTGTCAAACTACTAGATACAATATACTGTAAAAACCCATTGGTCAATATAATCAAGACCGAAATAAGCGACACCCCACACAAAAATATCACCATCCTTTGGGTGCCGTCACATATAGGGATCCCTGGTAATGAGTTAGCAGATCGGAAAGCAAAGACAGCTATCAACAACTCAATCCTGTCCATCGAAGAGGTACCAGCTTGTGACGCCACGGTGCATCTAAAGCAGAAAATAATGGAGAACTGGAATGATAACTGGAGAAACAAGCCATCTAAACTACGGGATGTAAAACCGAGCTTTGGAACATGGCAAACCATCACCAGCAACCGACGCATGCAAACCACCATCACACGACTCCGACTAGGACACACACGAGCCACCCACGGATATCTTCTAGCCCGAGAACCTGTGCCTATTTGTGAAATTTGTGACGTGCAGTTAACAGTGAAGCACATTCTAGTGGAGTGCCCAATGCTTGAAGTGTATAGGATAACGTTCAACTTAGAAAACACTCTGATAGGAATTCTAGGTCCAAAATGTAGCATAGCAAATCTTGTAAATTTTCTGAAAGCCACTAACTTTATTTATAAAATATAATCAATTCCACCGCTAATGACCATAAGGTTGAAGCGGATAGTTAAATAAAAAAAAAAAAAAAAAACGTTGGCGGAGACAACACCTATCCAAAGTTTATATTGCGAATCTGGGGAACTATCATTGAATGACAGAAGAAAGATATTGAGCTTAGCATACGCCACCAAACTTTCATCTAACAAAAATATACCGGCCCACAGGAACATGATGCAGGCTAAAACACATATAAGTACAAGCAACACCAATACAGTACATTCTTCACGAGAACCATTAGATATTTAAGGGATCTTAGAATCTCCCAGCTTGCTGGTATAGTACCGGAAACTAATACAAACATTCCACCGTGGATTATACATAAGCCAAATATCAATAAAGAACTGCTGAAAATAAATAAGACAGAAACTCCTGGACCAGTAATCATACAACATTTCCAGAAAATACTTCATAAGTATGAAACATATGAAGTAATATATATACCGATGCTTCTAAAATAGACAACAAAGTAGGTTCAGCTGTTGTGACAACTAGCAGCACCCTAACAATGAAACTACCAGACACAGCTACAATTCTAACAGGAGAATTGCACGGACTACTAGAAGCAATAAAACTTATAAGAGATAAGCACCTTCAAAAATCGTTGATTATAACGGATTCGCTCAACTCCGTTTTGCTTATCGAAAAGATATACACAAACAATCATCTGATACATCAAATTAAAGAAATCCTATATGCATTGCAGTTGGAGAATAGCAATGTAGTCTTCATATGGGCGCCTTCCCAAGTAGGAATCAAAGGCAACGAAAAAGTCGACAAATACGCAAAAATTGCAGGAAACCTTAATGATCCATCACACGTAACCATTCCAGCTTCAGACATCAAGGTCTTTCTGAGAAATAAATTCATGGAAAACTGGAACATCAACTGGCAAAACCACCCATCGAAGCTACTCGAACTGAAACCTAAATTCGGATCATGGACTACAGTGACAACAAACAGAAGACATCAAACCCTGATCACCCGACTCCGTCTAGGACATACCAGGGCTACACATGAATACCTCATCACCCAAGGAGCAGAACCTATGTGCGAAATATGTGAAGTGACACTGAGTGTTAAACATATACTGGTGCAGTGCCCTTTACTAGACTTTTATAGAGTCGACTGTAACATTTTATCCTTAACTCTAGACAACATCTTAGGACCAAATTGTAACGTATACAACTTACTTCGCTTCTTGAAACAAAATAACTTATTGTACAAACTGTGACACTATAACCATCGCCGCTAATGGCCAGTAGGTCGATGCGGTTAAATAAATAAAAAAAAAAACTTTGGCGGATTTTGGTTCTTGACATCCTTTACGATCGGTTACGATGCCTAGAGTACGGAGACCTGTACGATTTCGTCAACTTAGTGAGTTTGATAGGGGCCGTATAGTGGGACTTCGGGAAGCTGGACTTTCTTTTCGGGCAATTGCAGTTAGAGTGCAAAGAAGTGCAGACAATGTGGTTAGATGTTGTCAGGCATGGCTTCGAGAAGGCCGTACGCAAAAAGCAAGGGGCACTGGGCGCCGCCGTAGAACAACAGACTGTGAAGATCGCCGCCTAAGATTATTGGCCTTAAAGGACCGTTTCTCCACTACCAGGTCCATTGCAAATGAATGGTTTGCAGAACACGGAAGACCTATTGGCATGCGAAGTGTTTACCGACGAATGAGAAGTTTTGGCTTGTTTTCATACCGGCCACACTGGGTCCTCCCTTTAACTCGAGAACACCGGCGTAATCGCCTTGAGTGGTGCAGACAACGGTCACTCTGGGATCAGGAATGGAACAGTATTGTCTTTAGTGACGAGTCTCGATTTTGTTTAGGCATGCACGATGGTCGTGCCAGGGTTAGAGGGCGACGTGGTGAAAGGAGGAATCCACAGTTTTTTGTTGAAAGACATGTTCATCACACTGTTGGAGTTATGGTTTGGGGTGCTATAGCTTATGGTTCCTATGGTCACCTTTAATCTTCATCAGAGGTAACTAAACGCGCACCGTTATATCCACGAAGTTCTAGAACCCCATCTTTTACCCTATCTTGACACCCTGGCAGATCCAACTTTCCAACAAGATAATGCCCGACCACATGTTTCAAGAGTCACAATAGACTTCTTTCAACATAATGATGACACATTGTTACCATGGCCACCAAGATCTCCCGACTTATCCCCAATTGAGCACGTGTGGGATATGATGGGTAGGAGATTGCTCAATTTGCAATGTCCTCCTCAGACTCTAGAAGCACTTCGAGAGGAGTTGGTGGTTGCCTGGAATGAGATACCACAGGAGGACGTTGACCACCTGATCAGAAGCATGCCTAGGCGCGTTGGAGAATGCGTAGCACATCAGGGTGCATCCACACATTATTAAAGGTCAAAGGGCTTTAAAGCAGTGCAATCATTTTGAAATTTTTATCATTTACTTATTATGCTTCATTAAGTACTTATACAAAATTTTATTAAAATAAAACCATTTAAACTGGGTGTTCGGATTTATATGTCACTTAGATTATTTCGAACTGCAATTGCCCGAAAAGAAAGTCCAGCTTCCCGAAGTCCCACTATACGGCCCCTATCAAACTCACTAAGTTGACGAAATCGTACAGGTCTCCGTACTCTAGGCATCGTAGCCGATCGTAAAGGATGTCAAGAACCAAAATCCGCCAACGTTGATTCTTTACTGCGGCTGAAATATTAATTTTTAGAGCGTTAGTGAATTAAAAAAAAGCAGTATAAAAACCGGAATGTCCAACTGATAAAGCTGAAAATTTTGTCACTTGTTATTTACAGTAAGATAAATACATTCACCAACTTTTATTAAAATAAAACCATTTAAACTGGGTGTTCGGATTTATATGTCACTTAGTATATTTGAAAACTTGAGATGAAGTAGCTTCAACTATTTTTAAATTTTTTGTAAAAATGTATTTTTCACTTTTTAAAATTTATGATGTCAAATGTCTGGTAATTTCTGAACACTTTCACATATTTCTTTAATATGAAAACTTCTTACTTAATTTCTATTATACAATTTCGGTAGATATAGATCATATAATGACAAATTGATGTTACTGTAGCCACCATATTTGATTTAGAATTATAACGCGATGTCTTGTTATGTTTCTATATGTATCCATCTTATAGGAGTGACTTTGATAATTATAAACGCCATCTTGAGGCGGCCACTTTATTGGATTTAGAATAACTTCACTTGGTTTACTGCGTTTCTCTCATTAAGCTCTTTTATTTGATACTCAAATCATCGAGGTGACTGTGAAAAATCTCGATTTTGTGGCAGCCGAGATATTGCATTTGGTATGACGTCACTATGCTTATTGTGTTTCTCTCAACAACCCCCTTAATTTCATACCCATGTCGTAGGGGAGACTATGAAATATGTGAATCGTCATTTTGCAGCTGTCGCCATATTAGATTTAGAATGACGTCACTTTGCTAAATTCGTTTCTTTCATCAAACCATTTTATTTGATATCCATAGCATAGGGGTGATTGTGAAAATATTGTATCGTATTTCTGGGTTCGTTTGGGTGTGGATTAAAACACTGGATTCCTCAAAAAGAAATGCACTAATTTATTTAACTTGTTAGAACATTTATGTACACCACTATTTATGTCTGACTAATTCTTAAGTCGCCATTGACTGCACTATACTCCACTCCGCTCTGCTACTCTACCGTAGTCAGTACTGCGCTTCCATCTCCCGGCCGCCGAGTTATATCTATACTAAGTGACATATAAATCCGAACACCAAGTTTAAATGGTTTTATTTTAATAAAATTTTGTATAAGTACTTAATGAAGCATAATAAGTAAATGATAAAAATTTCAAAATGATTGCACTGCTTTAAAGCCCATTGACCTTTAATAATGTGTGGATGCACCCTGATGTGCTACGCATTCTCCAACGCGCCTAGGAATGCTTCTGATCAGGTGGTCAATGTCCTCCTGTAGTATCTCATTCCAGGCAACCACCAACTCCTCTCGAAGTGCTTCTAGAGTCTGAGGAGGACGTTGCAAATTGAGCAATCTCCTACCCATCATATCCCACACGTGCTCAATTGGGGATAAGTCGGGAGATCTTGGTGGCCATGGTAACAATGTGACATCATTATGTTGAAAGAAGTCTATTGTGACTCTTGAAACATGTGGTCGGGCATTATCTTGTTGGAAAGTTGGATCTGCCAGGGTGTCAAGATAGGGTAAAAGATGGGGTTCTATAACTTCGTGGATATAACGCTACGCGTTCATGTTACCTCTGATGAAGATTAAAGGTGACCTGGAACCATAAGCTATAGCACCCCAAACCATAACTCCAACAGTGTGATGAACATGTCTTTCAACAAAAAACTGTGGATTCCTCCTTTCACCACGTCGCCTTCTAACCCTGGCTCGACCATCGTGCATGCCTAAACAAAATCGAGACTCGTCACCAAAGACAATACTGTTCCATTCCTGATCCCAGAGTGACCGTTGTCTGCACCACTCAAGGCGATTACGTCGGTGTTCTCGAGTTAAAGGGAGGACCCAGTGTGGCCGGTATGAAAACAAGCCAAAACTTCTCATTCGTCGGTAAACACTTCGCATGCCAATAGGTCTTCCGTGTTCTGCAAACCATTCATTTGCAATGGACCTGGTAGTGGAGAAACGGTCCCTTAAGGCCAATAATCTTAGGCGGCGATCTTCACGGTCTGTTGTTCTACGGCGGCGTCCAGTGCCCCTTGCTCTTTGCGTACGGCCATCTCGAAGCCATGCCTGACAACACCTAACCACAGTGTCTACACTTCTTTGCACTCTAACTGCAATTGCCCGAAAAGAAAGTCCAGCTTCCTGAAGTCCCACTATACGGACCCTATCAAACTCACTAAGTTGACGAAATCGTACAGGTCTCCGTACTCTAGGCATCGTAACCGATCGTAAAGGATGTCAAGAACCAAAATCCGCCAACGTTGATTCTTTACTGCGGCTGAAATATTCATTTTTAGAGCGTTAGTGAATTAAAAAAAAGCAGTATAAAAACCGGAATGTCCAACTGATAAGGCTGAAAATTTTTTCACTTGTTATTTAGAGTAAGATAAATACATTCACCAACTTTTATTAAAATAAAACCATTTAAACTGGGTGTTCGGATTTATATGTCACTTAGTATAGTACCCATTGCTGCTTCGAGAAAGGTATGGTGAACCACAAAGCGACATCTAGAATATTGCAGGTCACTTCGCGTCGATCTAGAAGGTGAGTCACTGCCACGGTCCTCACAGACGCCGCCACGCGGCTTGTGCGGTCGTGGTTCGCGTAAAAGCAGAGATCGGCCATGAAGCTCTGGTGAGTAGGAGACTCACGCAACAGATGGCGCCAACAGTACTATATGTCACAATATAAATACGCCGGCCGACATAATTGATAAACAAAATTGTCGCCTCTTTCCTTATTGTGTTTCACAATCACTTTCATTTGATACCCATGCCGTAAATCGCCATTTTGTTTATTGCGTTTTTCATATCAAGCCCTATTATGTGATGCCCAAATCATAGGGGTTACTATGAAATCATGGAAATAATGAATCGCGATTTTGTAGCATCCGTCATATTAGATTCAAAATGGCGGTAGATAATTGTACTGTATTGTCATTTGTCACCAAACCAAACGTGTGTACAACATTTCAGCACAATCGGTTAATGTGAAGTGGTTCAGTTCAAAATTTGTCCCACACATGTTAACATACTGACAAACAGGTCAAGTTAAATAAAGCTTGTAAAATAGGAAGATATGATGATGCTGGTCCAATATGTTAGGTGTGCGAGGCTTTCACTACATCAAGGATATTCAGCCATTCGAGGGCTATAAATAGACATTCCGCGTAGCATTCTGTGTAGCAGTTGAGCTATCAATCCTAATACCTCGACCACCGCTATTTCTATTTTCATTAAATGGGATCAAATCATCATACAGAGATACTTCTTCCGAAGCCTAACTGCCTCTAACTCTGTACGTGCTCTGATCGAAAGCTTGATGCACATCCGGAATCTCATCGTCAAAATGAAAGCTACTCTTTATGAAGAACAATTGTAAATAAATAAGACCATAGGTACTCACCCTTTGTTTCTGTCCTCCTGATAAATTGATTCCCTTTTCACCGATTTCAGTTGCGTCTCCAGCTTGTAGCATCATGAAATCCGATCGTAAAGCGCATGCGTCAACTACCTTTTCATATTTATATTTATCGTATGGCTGGCCGAAAAGAATGTTATCTTTGAGTGTTGCATTTTGAATCCAAGCCTGGAATAACAGACATGTCATTATTAAAAATATATAAAGGAAAGGATCATGCGGAGAAAGGTAATGTAACAAATAGAAAAATTAACGGGCAAGAAGCGCAAAAAGAAGGAAAGTGAATTCGAGCCGAAAGTAGGATTGGTAACCCGAGCAATATGTATTTCTACTGATTGGCTTCATCAGGCCCGAAATGGATGCACATATGCAACTACTGTTTGTTGAATATGGTGGTTATAAGTCGAGTTATTATCAGGCCACATCTGGGGTGCCTCAGGGATCAAATCTAGGCTCATTATTGTTCCTGATCTTTATCAACGATTTGTCTCTTGAGCTCAAGTGTTTGCATCTGTTTTTGCTGACGACGTTGAGATTTACGCATCGGTCGAGTCAATTGATGATGCTGCAGGATAATTTAGATTTAATTTTCTCCCGGTGCTCGCGAAACTGTCTTAGTTTAAATATTTCTAAATGTAAAAATGTGTCTTATACAACAAAAACTAATTATTTAATGTATGATGATTATAACGTCAACGGTCATGTTCTAGACAGATGCTTCTCTTTTAAGGACCTTGGAGTAACCTTTGATAGCCGGCTAATGTTTAGCGAACATATACTTAATATCTCATCGGCTGCCACCAGAATACTTGGCTTCTGTATCAGAAACTGGAAGGGGTTCTCCAATGTCAGCACTTTAATGACTTTGTTCGTTACTTTTTTCAGAAGCAAGCTGGAATATGCAACCCTGATCTGGTCTCCAATATACCTAAATTCAGTTTCAATGATTGAAGGCATTCAACGTAAGGCTATTAAGTATTTTTACCTGCCATATAATATTCAGTTAACCCAAGAACTACAGCCTAGTGACCATGACCAGACAATACAATCATGCAATACTACAGCTTAATACCCAATATAACGATTTTTACTGACAACTGATAATGAGCGATGAAGCCCACTTCGATATGAACGGATTTGTTAATAAGCAGAATTGTCGTATCTGGGCATTAGAGAAGCCTCATGTTAACCATCAACGACCACTACATCTTCGTCGAATCACAGTTTGGTGCGGTGTTTGGTATGGAGGTGGCATTGGACCATTTGAAGATGCTGAGGGTAATTCTTTGACTATCACTGGCGAGCACTACCGTGATATAGTGCAAAACTCTCTGGCTCCTGAAATCCAATAATTGGACTTGCAAAACATGTGGTTCCAGCAGGACGGAGCAACTTGTCACACAGCTAACAATGAATCTGTTGCGAACGATATTTCCGGGAAGTTTAATTTCTCGATTTGGCGATATCAACTGGCCACCAAGGTCACCGGATTTAACGACTACTTACTTTTTTTTATGTGGATTTTTGAAAAATAGGGTTTATGCCAACATACCAGATACTGTAGAGCAGCTGAAGAACAATGTTACGGAAGCAATTGAAAATATTCCTCCCGAAACCTACCAAAAAGTAATGGAAAATATACTAAGTGACATATAAATCCGAACACCCAGTTTAAATGGTTTTATTTTAATAAAAGTTGGTGAATGTATTTATCTTACTGTAAATAACAAGTGAAAAAATTTTCAGCCTTATCAGTTGGACATTCCGGTTTTTATACTGCTTTCTTTTAATTCACTAACGCTCTAAAAATGAATATTTCAGCCGCAGTAAAGAATCAACGTTGGTGGATTTTGGTTCTTGACATCCTTTACGATCGGTTACGATGCCTAGAGTACGGAAACCTGTACGATTTCGTCAACTTAGTGAGTTTGATAGGGGCCGTATAGTGGGACTTCGGGAAGCTGGACTTTTTTTTCGGGCAATTGCAGTTAGAGTGCAAAGAAGTGTTAACACTGTGGTTAGGTGTTGTCAGGCATGGCTTCGAGAAGGCCGTACGCAAAGAGCAAGGGGCACTGGACGCCGCCGTAGAACAACAGACCGTGAAGATCGCCGCCTAAGATTATTGGCCTTAAGGGACCATTTCTCCACTACCAGGTCCATTGCAAATGAATGGTTTGCAGAACACGGAAGACCTATTGGTATGCGAAGTGTTTACCGACGAATGAGAAGTTTTGGCTTGTTTTCATATCGGCCACACTGGGTCCTCCCTTTAACTCGCGAACACCGACGTAATCGCCTTGAGTGGTGCAGACAACGGTCACTCTGGGATCAGGAATGGAATAGTATTGTCTTTAGTGACGAGTCTCGATTTTGTTTAGGCATACACGATGGTCGTGCCAGGGTTAGAAGGCGACGTGGTGAAAGGAGGAATCCACAGTTTTTTGTTGAAAGACATGTTCATCACACTGTTGGAGTTATGGTTTGGGGTGCTATAGCTTATGGTTCCAGGTCACCTTTAATCTTCATCAGAGGTAACATGAACGCGCAGCGTTACATCCACGAAGTTCTAGAACCCCATCTTTTACCCTATCTTGACACCCTGGCAGATCCAACTTTCCAACAAGATAATGCCCGACCACATGTTGCAAGAGTCACAATAGACTTCTTTCAACATAATGATGTCACATTGTTACCATGGCCACCAAGATCTCCCGACTTATCCCCAATTGAGCACGTGTGGGATATGATGGGTAGGAGATTGCTCAATTTGCAACGTCCTCCTCAGACTCTAGAAGCACTTCGAGAGGAGTTGGTGGTTGCCTGGAATGAGATACCACAGGAGGACATTGATCACCTGATCAGAAGCATGCCTAGGCGCGTTGGAGAATGCGTAGCACATCAGGGTGCATCTACACATTATTAAAGGTCAAAGGGCTTTAAAGCGGTGCAATCATTTTGAAATTTTTATCATTTACTTATTATGCTTCATTAAGTACTTATATAAAATTTTATTAAAATAAAACCATTTAAACTGGGTGTTCGAATTTATATGTCACTTAGTATATAATCAAGAGGGTTCAGCTTTGCGGGGCTTCTAGAGGCGGACATATGTGTGATATTTTTTTCATACATAATCTCTAAGACTCAATAAAACATTAAGATGAAAAAAAATGGACGTATTTTATTTCATTTCACAAATATTCAAGGTACAAACCAGTCAGTTACATATTGGCCACGCTGTATAATGGCCAGAAGACATCGAGGTTTCAAGACGACATATAACCACAACCACGCGGCCGACTATAGCCAGTCCTACTTAATTATCGTTCGTACAACTTTACTCATCTTTTTTTAGTTTTATACTTTTTTACTTTTGTACTTGAGTTAGTTGTAACTTTTATACCTCAAATGAAAGCTTGTTAGATAGAGATATTATTTACATAATTTGCACATTTCATTACTAGGAGATTTTTTACAGAAAATTGCATTTTTTATCGAATAAGTTAGTAAAAAAATAAGAAAATCATACATTTCAAAAGCGTAATTTTAAAACTTTTGTAAGTTTTCAACATTTTATTACTTATTATGAACTATTGGAATGTCCGCTATGCGACGATAACAAAAAACTCAAAATCAAACATGTAGTTTTTTTGTATTTCAAATTTAACATTCTGAAATCGCAATAAAAAATAAAAAAAATAAAATTCAAATAACTCATAAACGGTTAACTTCTGGATAGGACATTATAGGACAAAATCGGTTGCTTTTGACCTAATCCATCACCCCTTAACAGGAATACGTGACATTACAAGTCACCCTGTGTATATGTCTTTCGGAGAAAAAAGCATGCTTGAACTCTGTTCAGGATTGATCCTGAGACAGAGCTTTTTACAAAAATCCATAATATTGATTAGGTCACTATTAATTTTAAACGACACTTCATTGAACTGAGCATATTTGAAGTGAAATGATAATTATGTGTCATCAGCATACGTTTGTATTTAGAACAAAATTCCACACATGAGTCTAAGTCTATAGTGTAAATTAAATATAGCAGAGGTCCCAGAACTGACCCCCTGCGGAACGCCAGACGAAACCACAGTACTAGAAGAGACGCCCCTAATCGTCTTAACTACCTGTTTTCTTTCAGCCAAGTAGCTTTAGAAAAATCTTAGCGGAATATCAGATAGTCCAATGTACTTCAGCTTGCTCAACATGATTTTGTTATTAACTGTATCAAAGGCTTTTGAGAAATTAATCATCACTAATATGGTATTAATATGTCTGCCTAAGTTACCTACGATGTTGTCAGTTACTATAGATGGAGCAAAGCTGAAGTAGTTTGTTAGTTTGCTCTAAATATTCCACTATTTGAATGTACACTGCTTTCTCTAATTACTCGGTAACTTAGTACAAGTAACATAAAGAAAACGATTTACGAGATTCTTAAATCTTAAAATGTAGACACAGTATTAAAAAGTTTTCTTCGGAAATTGATGAAAAACGATGCTTTTGAGGCTCATTTGGAAGCGTTTTAGTGCCGTATCCTACAATTGTAGGACGCATTTATAAACTAAGTGACATATAAATCCGAACACCCAGTTTAAATGGTTTTATTTTAATAAAAGTTGTTGAATGTATTTATCTTACTGTAAATAACAAGTGAACAAATTTTCAGCCTTATCAGTTGGACATTCCGGTTTTTATACTGCTTTTTTTTAATTCATTAACGCTCTAAAAATGAATATTTCAGCCGCAGTAAAGAATCAACGTTGGCGGATTTTGGTTCTTGACATCCTTTACGATCGGTTACGATGCCTAGAGTACGGAGACCTGTACGATTTCGTCAACTTAGTGAGTTTGATAGGGGCCGTATAGTGGGACTTCGGGAAGCTGGACTTTCTTTTCGGGCAATTGCAGTTAGAGTGCAAAGAAGTGTAGACACTGTGGTTAGGTGTTGTCAGGCATGGCTTCGAGAAGGCCGTACGCAAAGAGCAAGTGGCACTGGACGCCGCCGTAGAACAACAGACCGTGAAGATCGCCGCCTAAGATTATTGGCCTTAAGGGGCCGTTTCTCCACTACCAGGTCCATTGCAAATGAATGGTTTGCAGAACACGGAAGACCTATTGGCATGCGAAGTGTTTACCGACGAATGAGAAGTTTTGGCTTGTTTTCATACCGGCCACACTGGGTCCTCCCTTTAACTCGAGAACACCGACGTAATCGCCTTGAGTGGTGCAGACAACGGTCACTCTGGGATCAGGAATGGAACAGTATTGTCTTTAGTGACGAGTCTCGATTTTGTTTAGGCATGCACGATGGTCGTGTCAGGGTTAGAAGGCGACGTGGTGAAAGGAGGAATCCACAGTTTTTTGTTGAAAGACATGTTCATCACACTGTTGGAGTTATGGTTTGGAGTGCTATAGCTTATGCTTCCAGGTCACCTTTAATCTTCATCAGAGGTAACATGAACGCGCAGCGTTATATCCATGAAGTTCTAGAACCCCATCTTTTACCCTATCTTGACACCCTGGCAGATCCAACTTTCCAACAAGATAATGCCCGACCACATGTTGCAAGAGTCACAATAGACTTCTTTCAACATAATGATGTCACATTGTTACCATGGCCACCAAGATCTCCCGACTTATCCCTAATTGAGCACGTGTGGGATATGATGGGTAGGAGATTGCTCAATTTGCAACGTCCTCCTCAGACTCTAGAAGCACTTCGAGAGGAGTTGGTGGTTGCCTGGAATGAGATACCACAGGAGGACATTGACCACCTGATCAGAAGCATGCCTAGGCGCGTTGGAGAATGCGTAGCACATCAGGGTGCATCCACACAATTTTTATCATTTACTTATTATGCTTCATTAAGTACTTATACAAAATTTTATTTAAATAAAACCATTTAAACTGGCTGTTCGGATTTATATGTCACTTAGTATATTTTCATAATTTTGTACTGTTCCGTGTCAACGCTCTATTTTGAGGTTACGTCACAAGATTATCTATTTGCATCAATTTGTTCAGGCTTTTGATTTATTTAATTTATTTTATAAGCCTGAAATTTCCTACAATTCAAAAAGAAAACATAACTTCACAACAGGAGAGTGCTGACGCTGACAGGGAACAGGTGCAATCTAGAAATTGTTGAAGGAGAGAAAATCAAGGAGGCCATAAAGGCGTCCTGCAATTGTAGGAACGACTGACGGTACGGCCCTTAGATAAGAGGTTAAAGTTACGGAGTGGGGGTGAAGCCAAAAATGTCGACGGTGAAATGAGCCGGTACCCTGCGCAGCAAATGTATTTTAGGTTTTGCACATATGGTATCTCTCTCTCTGCTGCTGTCACCATGACTTTAAACAACTCTAATTTTGACAGCCAGTTGCAATCATAAATACTGAATAATTTTAATAAATCACGAAATAATAAACCTACAAAGCATGGTAAAATGTGAGTGAAATGCATATTAACATTGCGACAGGTTGTGTTGACATTTTTCAATGCGTTGCCGCTTTACGCCATGTTGTACATCCACTAGATTTCTGAGAGCCACAACATCCTTGGCGACAGGATTGGCTTCATACGTACGTATATGCTTTAACCCCTTATCTAGTCTTCGTCCTCCTGACCAAATTGGAACGGGTGACAATCCTACTAAAAATATCTAACCTCACCTGTTGAGAAACATATGCGATAGATCCATCAGTATTAACGCGCCCTGACAACTTATACATTTCCCCCAAACAAGCAGATATCAGACTGGACTTCCCAGATCCTACAGCCCCAACGATGGCACCCAATGAATTTCTCTCACATTTGATGTTTATGTCTCTCAGTATAGGGTCCTCGCCCCACGAAAATGTACCATTTTCTATAACCACTGGCGTTTCTGGAAATAATTACAAGTTAGATATTTTCCATGATATAGGCACAATAAGTTAGTTATGCAGTATGTTACTATATACTAATGTTACACAACTCCGGCACCATAGAGAGTGGACATGACAACTATGGTTGGGTATTGGTCTTCCAGCGTCAATAGTGGTCAAACTCGACATGTGATTCAGCACCCGTTTTACGAAAGCACAGATGTTGGACATGCAGCACCAAGCCATAATTACTGTATACTATACACGGTGTTTCAGTTTATTGTTGCATAACTTGAGGATTCGATAGAACTTTTAAAATTAATGCATAAAGTCTATATAAACATGGGTCGAAAAATGCGTGGCTTCCGAAATACAGGGTGTTTAATTTACTTTCTAAAATAGTTTTTTTTAAATATTTCGAACAATATTTGATGTATAACAGTGAAAATTGGTATACAAGGGTTTTTTGGTACGACAAAACGAACCATGGGCACAGTTTTACTGTAGCCGCTAGAGGGCACTCTCTACTGTACCTGTAGTGTAATAAAATGACCGAAAATTTTTTCTTAGTGCAGCTTTTTACTTTTTGAATAAAAAAACTGATTCTTCGCACTTTTCAACATAAAAAAGCTCTCCTGTGAGTTTTCGTTATAGTTAGCCGTTTTTGAGATATTTCGATTTTTAAGGTTCGATGCATTTTTAATTATTTATGGGAAAATAATATTTTTTTTTGAATTTTCGATTTGGGCATTACAAGTAATTAAGCTGATCGATAGTCGATTACGGTAGATACCAATCCACACGTTCAGACTAAATTCATGCTGAAAATTTCTTTCCCGAAGCGCATGCGGATTTTCATGCGACCAAGTATGTTGATTATGAAAATTTACCACTCCACGTCTAGTGAAGCATGACTCATCGGTCCATAAAACGTTACTTAAAAACTCCCTATTATTATCAGTTCTATCAAGAATCCACTGACAAAATGTGATTCTTCGTTCTCCGTCCCCTGGCTGTAGTCCTTGTACAGGTTGCAAATGGTAAGGACGTCTATGGTCATTTCTAAGAACACGGTGAACATGGCTTGCTGTAAATTCCCAAGGCACCAGAAACTCTCCTAACACTTGTGGTCGGATCTCTATCAAACTCACGCAGAATCATACGGGTAAATCTGCGCTGACGAACATTTATGTTTTGATCCCTTTGGAGATTTCCAAAACCATTTTCAATTATTTGGCGATGCACTCTTACAAATACTGAGCGAGTTGGATATCGTCTGTTTAGAAATCTTCGTGCGTATTCTCTGGCTGCTTCTGCTGCGTTTCCATTTACAAAGCCATACACAAAATGAATATCCGCTAACTCTTGATTGGAGAATAAAAATGGCATTTTTATGAAACTTACAAAAAAAAAACAGGTAAAAGAAACTAAATTTCGTGCATTCACAATTGCAAAAAACGTTTCAGGTTTCAAGAGACAACAAAACTAACTGTCAACTAATTGACGTTTAACCTTATTCTGCTTTCAATTTCAAAAATATTTGCAGGCACAGCCTACTTCTAAAATTATCGAGATACTGACTTTTTAACGTTATTTTATCATAAATAATTAAAAATGCATCGAACCTTAAAAATCGAAATATCTCAAAAACGGCTAACTATCACGAAAATTCACAAGAGAGCTTTTTTATGTTGAAAAATGCGGAGAATTAGCTTTTTTATTCAAAAAGCAAAAAATTGCACTAAGAAAAATTTTTCGGTCATTTTAATATACTACAGGTTCAGTAGAGAGCGCCCTCTAGCGGCTACAGTAAAACTATGCCCATGGTTCGTTTTGTCGTACCAAAAAACCCTTGTACACCAAATTTCACTGTTATACATCAAATATTGTTCGAAATATTAAAAAAAAACTATTTTAGAAAGTAAATTTAAACACCTTGTATTTCGGAAGCCACGCATTTTTCGACCCATGTTTATATAGACTTTATGCATTAATTTTAAAAGTTCTATCGAATCTTAAAATTATGCAACAATAAACTGAAACACCCTGTATATGAGTCAATTATTGACAATAGCAACAAATAACAATTAGGCGAAAAATAGTTACTAAGTCGGCAAGATTATTGCTGGAATTATTTTTAAACAACAGTGAAGGGAACACATCGTCGACGAATAAAAAACTGGACTGATGAGGTTCGATTAGGACGGAATTAATTATTTTATTATTAAATGGCAAATCATTTTGAAAGGTTTTTTTAATTAAACGTTAAATGATTTTGGAAGAAATTTGGAAATTTTAAAACTATCAACTATTGAAAATTCCTTCGAGATTTCATCTTTTTTTCACTGGTAACCTCCACATTATCCAACACGTGCCGGCCGACTGACATTCTACGTGTTCCAGCTCCAGACGATGAAGACATAGATCTTCGAAAGCTTGAGAGTTTAAGTTATAAGAGTGTAATTTTGCAATACTTTGCCTTCTACCCAAACAAATTAAAGGATATTTTCTCCTAACAGTTAAGGCAATTAACTAAGAATACTATACTATATATATATATTTTTTTTGTCCGGTCTGTATCCTACTCTGTAAATGGCTGTTGCTGTTGAGTAGTATATATATATATTTAGGTGAAAAATAAAGCTTCCGCCTTTTGTTGGGAACTTCGACAAATTCAAGCAAAGAGGACTCTTTATACTTTATTAATTCATCAGGAGCTGCAATAATATTGAAAAAAAAATAGCAACGGTTTCTCAATGTTATTGCAGCTCCCGATGAAGATGGCAAAGTCCATTGAATGCTAGAGATTAATAAAGTATAAAGAGTCCTAATGCTTGAATTGGTCGAAGTTCCCAACAAAAGGCGGAAGCTATATTTTTCACCTAACTGATCTAGACGACAATGACCACGTCTCAAGTTATATATATATATAACTATACATATATATATACATATATAATGCGAGCAGTAGTCATTACCATTGCCAACAACTGGTTTGATAAGAAATACACACTAAATTGTTTTCTGGGAATCGGCACTAGTGTAGGTAGTGAACTCTTTGGACTTAAATCTCAATCGCTCGACAGACTTTGCGGCCGTCTTCAGGAGTTAGACGGTGAGGTTGCTGCTAAATGCTGTTTTAAAAAGAATACGTGGATGAAACCACTTGTTAGGATTATAAAAACAAAAGACCGGAAACATTGGGCTTGCTGTTAACGACGAAACACATTAATTTGTTAATAAGACCGAACGGATTAAATTGGGGAAAGAGTAATCAAATCATTAAAAACTAAAACTACATTTTGGGGAAAGAAATTTCTTGTATCACCGTATACTTTACACATTCACACCACGTGAAAAGTATACGGTGATAAAATAAATTCATTTCCCCAAAATGTAGCTTTTGTTTTTAATAATTTGATTTCTCGTTCCCCATTTTAATCCGTTCGGGTTTATTAACAAATGTGTGTAACACAGCTATGTGTTCCGTCGATAACAACAAACCCAATGTGCCCGGTCTACTACTATTGTTACCTTAATATATGTATAAATCTGGAGATAAAACTAAAATTACAAATTTTCGTGTAATTGGAGTTATTACGAATTTCGCTAAAATATTCGAAAAGTGTCTCAAAGAGAGATTATCAAGCTTTTTATCTAGTAATAAAGTTTTGTCAGAAAATCAATTTGGTTATCGCAATGGCATCAGTACCTCACATGCGATACTTCAGCTTACAAGAACCATTTCAAAAACTCTTGATCAAGGAAAGAAATGCATTGCGGCCTTCCTAGACCTTGCAAAGGCACAGTGCCTCATGACTCCGTTCTAGATGTCCTGGATATTTATGGGATCAGGAGTGTTGTGTCGGAGGTTTTTGCAAGTTATTGGTCAATTAGAATACATATGACTAAAATCGGAAATGTGATCAGTGACTCGTCAGAAATAGAAATGGGCATACCACAGGGCACCGTTATTGGGCCATTACTACTTATATTATATATAAACTCTTTGACAGATATTATTCTAGAACATGGTATGGTGGTTTCATACGCTGATGACACCGTCGTGGCCTTTGTGGTGGAAAAATGGGAGGAGGTATATGAAAAAACATCTCTTGGATTAGAAAAAATAAAATGTTGTCTTGATTCATCTAAACTTACTTTAAATGTGGATGAAACTAATTACATAGCCTTTTACTTAACATCTGCGAATCGACCAAATTTTAACAGCACATAAGTAAACGGTTTTGAAAATGAAATAAAAGAGGTACCATACACCAAATACCTTGGTGTAATAATAGATCAAAATCTTAAATGGAAGCAACATGTGCTTAGGTTAACTAACAATCTACGAAAACTTATTAGAAAATTTTACATGATCAGAGAAATTTTAAACTCTGAATTGGTTGATTTTTGTCCTTGTTTAAGTAGCTACAAAGTAATTGGCATGACATTATAATTATATAGATTGTCAAATAATTATTTGACCTGGATTTATTTTGTTTTATTTATTTTACTATTTTATTATTGAAATGTTACATTACACATTATTTAAGATTGGTGCATACAGATATTAAGTTATCTAGGTACCACATAAGAAAAACTATGTATGGTTTATTTTAGTATAATATATAAAACCACTGTATATATCGCCATCACTTTGTAATATATTGTATTGTATTGTATTTTTTTTTAGGTCTCATCCACGTATTCTTTGGTTCAAGAGTGGTAGGCAAGTAGAATATAAGTTTCGGCGCCTTCCTTTCTACCACCCCTGAACTCACTGCTTGTGGGGCGTCGTCGTCACATCCTCAATTTTTCAGGAGCATTTGAATACACCGCGCGATTATTTTTACGACCGACTGTACGTCATATCGACGTCACATAAACGTCATATTGACCTCAGATAGACGTCATAACTACATCATACAGGCGTCATATCGACTTTGTATTTGGTCTTTTATACGACATACTATGACGTCATACAAATGATGTCTATTCGGTGTGACATTAGACTGTCATAATGACGTCATTTCTACGTCATTTTTGTTGGTTGGCGTACATACGTCAGCGATGCCCTAAAAATGCCAATATTATGACGTCACTATGTCCATTGCGTCCAGCCCTAACATGACGCCAATTTGAACGTGTCATTAGGAGGCAGTAATCTAACAATATAAGAAAAAAATTTGTGTCGCAAAAATTGTAGGAAAAAATTATCTATTTCCTGGCACACGCAGGTAAAAGAGCAACTGGATATCAACGTTTTATGTCAGACAAAACACATGTCGAATATAAAGTAATATGTAAATAAAATATAAAATATGTATATGTAAAAGGTTGGAAAATCTCGAAACTGGAGATACTACAGACCAGTTCGTCGAGCTCGAGAGTATGTTAGGCAAAGGTGGTGCTCATTTTGAACAATTTCTGTACTTATTATTTCCGTTTATTAGTTTTGTCGCCATCTTCATTTGTTATTGTTAAAAATTATAGCAACGCTACTCAGATATTATCGTCGTGGTACAAATAATGCATTGGAACTTTTAAAAACAAATATCTCGAAAACTATTAGCTTTAAACAATTCTAACATGTTAAGCTTTTTGTTGTGGAAATACGAGAAAATAAGATTTTTCGGTCAGTTGTAACAGGGTAGCACGAAAAAGTTATGATGAATTATTTACCGAAATAGTGCTGTAAGTTTGGCTATTAAAAATAACGGATTCTTGTTTCTCGTACTAGAAAAGTTCCCTAAGTATACCAAGTTTTATACCAAAATCTGAATCTGAAGCAATAAGGAAAAATAGAAAATAAAGTTGTAACTTTGACACCCTGTATCTCGCAAACTGTCAACTTTTGGGCTGAGGTATGTTTAGGTCAATTCACATATTTTGGTCTGTAGTATCACCAGTTTCGAGATATCCCAACCTTTCGCAGACCCCCTGTATGATCGAAGAAACGGAATTGTTTCATGTTTATTGTTATTTACCTTTATTTGGTTCATGCGTCACATTATTTGGATCCAGCTCTTCAGCATTCAAGAAATCATTGATTCGTTTTAATGCTATAGTAGCCTAAAAATTTAAAAATAATTGTATATTAACAGAAAAATATAAATATAAACAGAATCACGAATAAATAAAAACTGCAAGTAGAAAACAATTTCATCTATTTCAGTATTTAAAATTTCTACAAATTATATGGTAATCCTAAAGCTTACCTGTATATAATTCGAGATCACCATGGGCAACATATTCAGTGGTCCCCTTATTATATTAAAAAGTGATATTGAGACATAAGCTTTTTGCGCGTCTAGTACTTCGTGTGTATTCACACAGGCATACGTTGCAAACGTGACGAGGGACACCTAGAAAGGCGAAAAATATCACTGAAGTCAATCTATTGTCTTGAAACACCTCGGAAACTTCTGCGATTCTGAAGTGAATCGAAAATCAATCACCAACAATAGTTTATAGATCACCAATATAGGTCGATCCATCTCATCTCAAGTCACGATACGAGCCCCTTCAGTTGGCCCAACTATTGAAATCTTAGTTTTTTCTTATCAAACACAAATAATAAAAATGTAGCAGGGTGTTATAGGTTTAAAATATTAACAATGAATATTTTGATCATATATAGTAGAAAACATGAACTTTATCACTCCCTAATCAAATTTGCAGCACAAAAATAACACATGTTGCAATTATAGCATATCAACCTATTTTCATTTCAATGCAAAATAAGTCTATAACGCAAGGTGGCTGTGAAAAATAAAAGCCATGACAATTATTTTTATTAGTCACAGTGAGAAAATCGAACTCAGAAATTGCAACTTTGTTAGACTTATCGCGGTACAGTGTGAGAAATATTGTTAGAAGATATAACGTAACTAGTTCAGTTAATATTAAGCCACGATATGTGAAAAAAAGTAATATCACAAATGTCGACTGAAGAGCATTAAGAAGAATAATCGTGAAAAACAGGCGTGCCAATTATTTACAATTAAGTGCTCTGTGGAGTGACGCTGTTGGAAGGAGAATTTCGAGGTCCACAACTCATAGAGAGGCCCACAAACTGGGATCTAGTACTTGCAAGGTAAGTTTTCTTTTAAAAAAAAGTGAAGTAAAAACCCTAAAGTTGCACAACTTGTTTATAGGCCAAAGAAAAGCCACTATTAACTATACTGCAAAAGAAAAATCGGCTTAGATGGGCTAAAGAATATAGACAATGGACACCTCAACAATGGTGTGCAATACAATGGAGTGATGAGGCCCGATTCGAAGTTTGTGTTGCTAACAGTCGCATTAAAGTTATTCGCAAAAAAAATTAAGCATTCCATGTTGGCTGTCTGAAGTGAAATTTCCAGCATCCAGTATGGTCTGGGGCCGTATGTCATCAAAAGGAGTAGGAAAACTTCATTTTATTGATGGAAATGTGGATACAAACAAATATTTGGCAATTTTAGAAGAATCGCTTTTACCAGTGATGGAAGAATGTTTGACATCCGGCCAAGATTTTGTGTTTCAGCAAGATGGTGCAGCGTGCGATACCTCAAAAAAGGCTATAAAATGGATGGAAGAAAATAATGTACCACTTTTGAAATGGGTTTCTCGCAGTCCAGATCTGTCACCTATTGAAACTTTGTGGCACGAGATGAAAAAGGTTCTACGACAACATCCTGCTAGTACAATCACCGAACTGAGACAAAAGGTTCAAGAAATATGGGATTGTTTTACACCATATTTTTGCCAAAACTTGGTTAACACTATGCCCCAAAGAATTTCAGCCGTAATAAAAAATACAGGTAATCTTTCAATTGTTGCTTTGTTAACTTCGCGCATTTATTCGTACATTGTTTATTTGTTCAGATGTTCTATTAGTTATAGGTCTATGTGATTTCAAATATGCATTTTTTACGACTAGAGTGTATCTAAAATGTTTTTGAGAAAATAAATTGTTTTAGAAGTAAACAGTTTCGTCATGTTTAGTTTATAAAGGCATATTTTGGTACACATCTTGAAGTGGGAAGGGGTTCGTAGATTGAGGTAGATCTAATACGTAACTTTTCAGACTAAAGTTTTAGGGTACTTACTAAAAAGGGAGCACCTGTCCATATGAAAGACGTAGCTGCATTCAAGTACGCTGATTGTCTTAAGGTTTTAATTTCTTTTTGTCTTACAGGATGAATAATATCTTCCATGCTTCCTTCCCATGCATATAACTTCAAAACCTGTTAAAAAAATGATATTAAATAAATTAAATCAACGCTATCCAAGTCCAAGCGTTCATATAGATACGTCCAACGTTTACAAATCTGTACGTTCAAACAGAAAAATAAATCCTGTTTGAGAATCAAAATTAATACAGGGCGAGTTTTTGGCATGTAACCGTTAGTTTAAAATACATCTAAAAAGTGTATTACTGAAATTAAGAAATTTTGTCTGAAAGTGTGCTTAATGAATGTTTTGATATTATTGGAGCAAGAATATCAACCCTGATAAATTACGTTAATCATGTTTAAAATATGATGAATTTCCAACAAAATTGAAGAGTTCTGCCATAACTCCCGTTTCGAAAGTTGAGAATTCTGAGTTGTACACCAATATGCGCCCCATAAATTTTCTGCCAGATATTGAAAAAGTCTTTGAACAAATTATTTACGAACAGATCGTCGAATTTATTGACTGAAATAAAATGTTAAACAAATTTTAAGCTGGATTTAGGAAGAAATACAATAGGGAACATACAGTAACAGTGTTTTTGGACTTCAAAAGGACCTTTGAGCCTATTGACAGTGATAAATTACTTACAAAATTGCATCACTATTGATGTAAAGGATCTGTATTCAAAATTCTACAAAACTACTTAATTGACAGAAGGAAAAAAATCAATATTGGATCTACAATATCAACGTCAAAAAATATTTCTGTTGGTGTACCACAAGGTAGGTAACTAGGTCCACTACTATTTATTTTATACATTAATGACATTTGTAATATTTTAGAGTATTGTAAAATTCAGATATTAGCAGATGATACATTGATATACATATCAGATGAAAATATTATAGACACTGATTCAAAAATGGTAAATTTTGACTTGGCAAAAATCATAAATTGGGTAAATGTAATCAAACTAAAATTAAATACTTCTAAAACAAAATGTATGCTAATAGGGAAATACTTAAATGAAAATACTATCACAGTTAGGATAAATGGTGAATTAATTGAAAATGTTGAATCAATTAAATATTGATAGTAAACTAAAGTTTAAGGATCACTATGAATGCATTATTTCAAAAATTGCCAAAAAAACAAATTACTTTGATAGGGCTTCTCATAGTCTTGGTACATATTCCAAAAAAATAGTTTATAATACAATTATTCAACAGCATTTACTATATTGTGTAACTATCTTGTGCACTGCCAATGAAGCTGTATTCTCAAAATTACAAGTCTTGCAAGATAAATCTATAAGAATAATATTGAATAAAAATAGGTACAGCAAAATAAAATCTGTGTTACAAGAATTGCAGTGGTTGAATATAAAAAATTTCATATCATATTTGGTTTTTATTTTTGTTTAAAATAAAAAATCATCTTTTGCCATAACATTTAGAACAGCAGAATTGAATAATCATTACCACAATTATTATACAAGAGGAAATATAGATTTTAACTTGCAAAATTACACTAGTAATATAACTAGCCAATCAATGTTTCGGAAAGGATTACTTGAATTTAATAAACTAAACAATGATTGAAAGGCTACTTGTAATTTAAAGATGTTTAAAATAAAATTATAGGAATATTTCATGGACAGTGAAAATTCTTAGAGATGCAATTTTTTTTCTAAATATCTGTATGTTAAGTAATTGTTTAGTTCTTTAAAAGAATTTAATTATAGCAATCATGTTAAATACATCTTAAACAAACAAACAAACCAACTATACGCTCATAATTAGGAAAATATGCCACTCTATTATACAGGGTGTCCGCAAAGTTGGGGTTTTCCTTTACACGACGTGTAGATCTTGAAAACATAAGCAATTTTTGGGCTCTGCTACATCAAAAATATCTGAATACCGTCCTGTAGCCGCGACCCGCGATATCACCGACTGGTACAAGGTCACTGGCTCAACCCGACGACAGAACTGGGTCGGGGTCAGTGTGTCAGGTCAGTATGCAACCTTCAACCGACGGTTACGGTCACGCATGTAGAGGTAAACGAACCCGTATAATCGATTGCGTTTCAAAAAACAACAAGCACTAGAGACGTGGCTAGAGAAGTGCAAGTATCAAAAACTAAAGTGTGGCAAACGCTGCGTGAAGAGGGGCTGTATCCGTTTCACGTCCAACGTGTACAAGCCCTTCAACCTGACGATTTTCCAGCAAGAGTGCGGTTTTGTGAGTGGTTGTTGCATCAACATGACAATAATCCGGACTTTTTGAAGTGCATATTGGTGACAGACGAATCTACGTTCACGCGTATTGGGGTGAATAACTTTCGCAACACTCATGTTTGGTCAGTAGAAAATCCGCACACTGTCCGTCGGGCACATTTGCAACAAACATTTTCGGTGAATGTTTGGGCTGGCATGGTGAACGGTATGCTCATTGGACCATTTAGTCTCCCAAATTTGTCATATTTGTTACCTCTGTTCGTGGTCTGCACCACCGCCGGTGTCTGCTCGGTAGCGCATCAGCTGATTTCATTTTCTGTTGGAGCGGTATGATTTCGGGCAGAGACGTACTTAGCCCTTCTCGTCAACTGGAGAGTGAGTACTTTTTCCTTTTTTTTTTACTTGCGCGCCCTCGTTTCACTACACATTACCTTTGTTATTTCAAGGGTAGTTGTTTATGAAAAGGAAAACCCCAACTTTGCGGCAACACATATTTTCGTCGGTCTGTCTGTCTGGTCGTTGATCCTTGATTCCTCTGTATTTTGGAAAGTACCGGTCAGATTTAGATGAAACTTTCACACTATACCTAAGACGAAAAAGCTTTGTTGTTTTTGTAAATCGGTGCAGTGACGGAGCAGCGAAGGGCAAAAAACGAAAGAGATAAAAATCGCTAAGACCTCATTTTTTATATCCTATAAGATTTCTGGGTTGCCATATTGCCAATTCTTTTAGTTAATTGCAGTTACAAATAAATTCCACTTTATTCGGTGGGAGGTAATTTCATTGAAGTATGGTATATAGTTTAAAGACAGCGAGCAATGACTCATGTGTTACTTCTTCATATTGGGCAATTCTGGACAGTTTTTAGTTGCTGCCAAGTATACAGGGTGTTTCACAACTTATCCGACAAATTTCAACCACCTAACACCCTTCAACATTGTTCTAGTCAATCATATGCTGATGATATGCAGGTTTTTCATAATTTCTGTCCGAACAACTACCATTTAGCTAACAACCTTATCAATCAAGATCTGCAATACTTATGCACATATGCTGCAAAACATAATTTACGTCTAAACTCATCGAAATCGACAGCTATACTTTTTTGCTCCAAGAAAAAACGTACTTTCCTCAAATCAAAGTTAAATTTATCATTAAATAATAGTATCCTAATATTTTCCCATTCTGCAAAAAATTTAGGTTTGTACTTGGATGAATATTTCAGATTTCAGGAGCATGTTGGCTATGTGTGTAAGTCTAGTTATTTTAGGCTTCTATATGCAAGTAAAACTGTTTTAAATAGAAAAATTAAGAAAATGTTATGCGAGTCACTCATACTCGGTAAAATCGCTTACTGCAACATAGTTTATTATCCCTGTCTGGATGAAATCACAAAATACAGACTGCAAAAAATTCAAAACTCATGTAGTCGTTACATAAACAATTTAAGAAGGTACGATCATGCTTCTCACTCAATATCTTCAATGAATTGGTTGAAAATTTCTGATCTTTTCAAATACAACTTTGTTACATTTGTCGTAAAAATATTAAAAACTTCTGTTCCGGTTTATCTTATGCAAAAGCTTGTTCGTAGGAATTTAATTCACAATTTGAATACGCGCAACATTAATCTCCTGACAATGGCACAACATAGGACAGCCATTTTTCAACGGTCTTTTACGTATAATGCGGTAAAATTGATCAACTCTTTGGAACAATGTTTCATCAGCAACTTTTCTAAAAAAAAATATAAGAACTACTTATTGAGCTCTCAGGCTATTGTCCTCTCTTTGAATCGTACGTATTATGTTTTTTGTTCTAATCGTACGCATTATGTCATATTTATTAATTCTTCTTTTACTATTATTCTTCTTTTTCCTTTTCTATTTCAGTTTTTTATTTTATTTTTAAGGTAGTAATAAGCATTGACATGACATTTATGGTTAAGTATAAATGGTCATTGGCCAGACTACGCCATTTGTAAGGATACATAATTATGTATGTGTTACAATAAAGTCCATTGAATTGAATTGAATTGAATTGAATTTAATTGAATATGCACTGTTAGGAAAGGAGTTTTTTTCTCAAAAAAAAAAGAAATAAAAGCCCTACAGATATTAAGTTATAAACCTGAGTTTCGATAACAAATTGAAAAATAAATGTCTGTATTTTGCGTTCATCGTCGTGATATTAGAACAGGCATTAATAATTTATTGCTGCAAATGTTGAATTAAACAACTGACGAAAACAAAATACCGGAAATTTGACCTGCGGTAATCCGACAAACATTATGCAGGGCAGTGTCGGACTATCGAACTTGTCGGATTATAGAACACTGCCTAAGACCCCCTATAGTCCGGAATTTTTTACAAAAGGGTACCTTGTAATCCGACAAATTACATATCCAATGGTAAGATTATATATGTTATGTATATGTATGTACTTTGAAGTACAAATCATACATAGTTTATGAATGTCGAATTTAGTAAATTAAATAACAATAGAGAGCTTACGTTTTATTATAAAATTAAGCATAAATGCACATACAGATGTACCAAAATAATCAAGAATTATTAATCAAAATCATTAATGAATTTATCAAATTATGAAGCTTGGAAATATTCATCAATTTTTTTTTGTTTAAGGTTGTTATAACGCGAGATCAGAGCTTTGTCTCTCAGTCTTCTCAAAAGTAAAAGTTCGTTGTAGGATGTACCATTCTCTTCAGCCCATTGTAAACCTAGCTCAAAGGCGTTAATTGCGTCTTGTGCTGTGACTTGTGGAGCAGTTGCAATCACGTCGTCGTTATTTTCCTGATTGCTTGTTGTATAATTAGAAACCTCTTTTATAATCTCTTCGTCAGACATTTCATGAAAAACATTTTCCTCTTGATCCATTCCATTGCACCAGATTTCCCAATCTTCCGGACTTATATGTTTCAGTAGCGACTTGTTCTATAACTTCCGAAGTAACACTGATTTGTGGAACGTTGCTAGGAGTGGTGACTATATCTGGCCATAACTTTTTCCAGGACGATTTAATAGTTGATGACGGTAACGCATTCCACGGCTGACAAAGAGCAAAAACCAAGTCTTTCATATTAAATTCTTTTAAAGTTTTTTCTATTAATAATAATAAAAATAATATTTATTCTCTCAATGTACAAAGATAACAAACAATATGAGTAAATAAATATAAAATCAAAACAGGCCCAATAGAAGGCATCGCCTGTACATGGACCAATAATTTAAGTTGAAACTGTAGAATGCACAAAAAAGGACAAAAATTAGCTACAGTAGATTATGTATTTAGTTGATGTTCGTATTTATGAGTTTATGAATTTCAGTCCTAGATATAGAATGTAGCCATTTTTTTAAATTTCTTTTGAAACAATTTCCGAAACGTAAATCTTTCAAGTCTTTAGGTATAATTTCATAAAATTTATGTGCTAAATAGAGATAAAATCGCTACATTATAGATTTATGCGGTTGAGGAACTACTGTTCCACGAATTTTGTACCTTGTATATGATTATGTTTAATTTTTTGGTCGGTGTTTACAAATTTATGGTAGTGAGTGATACTCTGTAAGAAATAAAGCTGTCTTATATCATACATTCGAACATCTGCGTATAATTTTTCAGTGGGATAAAGTTTCGGTTTTTTAAATATCATTTTTAGAATACTTTTTTGAAAAACATCTAAATTGTAGATATGTGAGGAACATGCAGCTCCCCATGCTAATATACCATATGTGAGATGATGCTCAATCAGTGCATGGTATAATGTTCGAAGATATTTTTCTGTCAATATATTCCCAAGGTATTTAATTTTGTAGGATACAAATCTAACTTTCTTTAAAATACAATTGACATGGATGTCCCATCGTAAGTGAGGATCCAAGACCACTCCAAGGTATTTTATGTTGGGCACTCTATTAATTTGCATTTTTTGATCATTAATGTTGAAGGAGAAATTTGTGTAACTTGGCAGATGTGTAGCATAAGATCCTAATGGCAAAAAATGTGTTTTAGAATAGTTAATGCTTAATTTTCTACTGTTAAACCACCGAATAATTTTGATAAAATCATTTTCAATTACATTTTTCAGATCAGACCAGTCAGTGCCTTCATATAATATTGCAGTATCATCTGCAAAACCAGTTATTTTGCCAACACAATTAATTTGGAAAATATCATTTATATATATATATTGAATAACAGCGGACCTAAGACAGTTCCTTGTGGGACACCACACTTAATATACATTTCTTTACTAAATGATCCTGATATCTGCACAGATTGTGGGCGATTTGACAAATAATTTTCGATCAGTGAGTACGCGTTTCCTCTGAAACCAATTCTCTCCAATGCTTCTAATAATAATTTGTGATTAACTGTGTCGAAAGCTTTCTTTAAATCAACAAAAATGCAGATTGAAGGGATTCTGTTATCAATATTTTGATGTATTTGATTTACAATTTTAGTTATTGCGTCTTTGGTTGGTCTTTTGATTCGGCTCTCAGAAGTAGGTTTTTCTTATAGTCTTGCTTGACAAACTGAATGATATTCTGGTACAACGGTTGAATCAGTGCAGTGGAATTTGGCGGAAGAAACATCGTAGTGATGCATTTATCCTCAGTTGTAAGTTCTTCTTCACACGGATGACCGGGAGCGTTATCAAGAAGCAACAACGCTTTTTGAGGAAAATTATGATCTTTTAACCATTTTCTAACTTAAGGTACGAAGCATTTATCAAACCACTTTTTGAAAAGGTCTTTTGTCATCCATGTACTTTTTTGTCCGTAGTAGTGTACAGGTAAATCAATGTTTTTGAATGCCCGTCGTTTATTAGATTTCCCAATGACCTTCATCTTAAGCGCGTGTGTGCCCGCAGCGTTAGCACATGGTAGTATGATTTCGTCCAGGTACGGATTTTTCGTTACAAGAAACGAAAGTTTTGTTACACATCACACGCCAAAAAAGCCCTGATTTGTCTGCATTGTACACCTGTGATGGGTCAAGATTTAAATCGTTCAGCTTTTGCAAAAATCTTAATTTAAAGGGCTCTATGCAGGTGGCATCGTTAGAAAGTTTCTCTCTTGTAATAGTCATTAAACGTATGCCATGACGACTTTTAAAACGTTCTAGCCATCCTTTGCTGGCCACAAAATCATATTTTTTTGTTATTTCCTTATAAAAAAACTTGGCTTTCATGGCCAACATGGGTCCTGCAATTGGTGCATGCCTATTTCTTTCCTGAAGAAACCACATGTACAAAGCTTCTTCCACTTCTGGATGTTCATCTTTCTTGAGTGTCTGTATTTGCCTGGCCCGCCGTATTCACTTGCTAAACTACTGAGTTTCATTGCGATTTAAGCGGTCTAAAATATCACATTTTTCTTTAATTGTCAATGTTTTGTGCTTCTGAGTTTGTGATGGCATTACTAGGTACTATACTTAATACACAATGAATAAATAGTAAACGCGGTGGCGCGTACAAGTTGTAACCTTTTCAAACCTGCGTGATCTACATTAGCGAAGATAGTCAAATACGTATGTATGTAACATTCAAAGACATGTCGGATTCCAGGGGGCGCCGGATTAGACAGGGGCCGGATTATCGGGGGTCCACTGTAATTATTATTAATAAACATGGCACATGTGTACGACACCAATAAGGAGTTAGTGGAAATTTTTTTAGCGTATCGTGAGGCAGGGCAAAATTCGCGAGTGGCTTCTCGTTCGTATGCACACCGATTTCCGTATAGGCACATACCACATCACGAAACATTCAGTTCAATTGTTTTACGTGCACGTGCTAGTGGAGATTTGTGCCCCAGACAAGGAGTGGATGGGGGTAAGGGTTCGCCCACAACGCGTTTTAAATGCCGAAAACGAAATTTTGGATATTGTGGAATAGGCACAAGGCAGGTGGCTCAACAGGTCCCCGAAGTGTCACATGCAACATCGTGGTGCATGCAGACAATGGAAACAATTTTGGACAGCTTTTATAAGTAAGAGAACTGTTAAACTGTATTATTTTATTATCTCGATTTCTGTAGGACTTTTATTACATTTTTTTTTTGAGAAATAAACTTCTTTCGTAACAGTACATATGTGGTTAAAATTTGTCAGATAAGTTGTGAAACACCCTGTATTTAGGTTTACAGCTGTGGATGAGGACGTTGTTGATAGGTTTGACCATGTAATATGGTGTACAAAAATCGAAAGTCGTTTTTATAACGTTTTTATAAATTATAGCCCTACCTTAACTGCAAAGGGTCTATTGGTCTGGATGAATACGATACTACCTGCAAATTCTGGGACACACTCTGTATACAATAATGAGGCTGTTCATACCTTGATGCCGTTGAGTATCTCATTCATTAGTTTGACTCGTTCATCTTTGTTCTTCATTTGCTTCCCCTGCATGGTCTTCACCTTATTCGCAATGTATCCATTCAGTGGAATTAACAAGATCATTAGTGCCAGCCCAGAAAGGACTGAAGGGCCGAGTTCCTGCCACAAGAAGTACAACGAAAGACAAATTTGTAGGGGTGCAGACCAGACCATGTTAATGAAGATCGTCATCATGCTGATCCTGTTTGTAGAAACATAAGAAGTCAATTTTATTTGTAAATTATGTTGTTATATGAATAAATGTCAGGTTTTTTTTTACGCCGAAGACTAAAAACCAGGGCACTGCGGCTGATATGAGGAGCTTGAAGAAACTTTGTTAAGCCGATTTTTGAACTGGCTGAGGATAGTAGAACTGGGAAAAGTTTTCTCATGTGGATTGTTCCACAATCTTGATACCCTGGATGTACGAAGTTCGACACGGTTAGATGGAAAGCCGAAGTCAGGCAGATATATCTAGTTGCCACATCTTGTTGCGGCATCACGGAGAAGAGCTCTGAGGAGCAAAACCCGTTGGCGTAGCGGTAGAGAGAGCTAGATTGTCGACGGCCCGCCGGTGCAAACGGGTCCCAAGACTGTCCATTAGAGAAGGGTCATCGATAAGTCGGACAGCCCTCCTTTGAACAGCATCGAGCATGGATAATGAAGTTGGGGCGGCAGTACCCCCAACATATGAGCAATACTCGAGGCGAGGTTTTATCTGGGCCTTGTAATTTTTAACCAAGTTTTTGAGCATTGAAAATATTCATTTTTAGACATTTTTAGACCCGAAAATGCTCCACCTTGGAAAAAGCTATGAATGTCTTGATAAACAAAAACAAAACTTCTAGAAAGGAATGTTTGCTTTCCATCTCCTGTAACCATGACCCACCATTGGTAGGTGGCGATCGTCAGATTCCCATCTACTTCCAATATCTATACTATAACTATCTAAAACTGTAATGACTCATCGATGTTCACGTGAATATCACTTAACTACCAGTAGTCGGCTGCTCATAGGCGGGGTATGAATGTTTAACATGGGTGAACTAGATTTGTCACATGCTTAATAAAGAGTGATTTGAAACATATTGTAAGTCAAAAATTTGGGAATTACCTTTATTCATCGTCGCTTCCACTTACATCTGACAGTAATAAACTGTCGCTATTGCTTTCCTCGTTGAAATTGACTATAACTGGCTCTATGATGGTGTCGATGTGGTGGTCAAGCTGCCACATTTTTGTTTCTTCCTTCACAACATAAAGGATAGCATTCTGCCAAGCTTCGGGCGTTACTAGCTGTATGGAAGTCTCAAGTAAAACCTTAACGCCTGGTAATTTGAAGGTTGTGTTATGGCGCGCAATATAACCCTTCACTTGTGCCCAGATGAGCTCTATTGGGTTCAGTTCACAGTGGTAGGGCGGTAACCGCAGCACAGTGACACCACATTGACGGGCCATCTCATCAGTCACGTAACTAATGTTCGCAGGTTTGTGCTGTTTAATTTTTTCATACAATTCCGCTTTCACACATGAATCGTCAAACGGGATTCCTTTTTCGCGCAACCATTGCTGCATGTCACTTTTTCGAGATCCCATAGTCGGTACACGTTCGGCTCGACGACTATGGTAGGAAGCATTATCCATGCCGATCACAGAGTTGGGCTCAACTCGCTGAAGCACCCCTTGAAACCAGCTCTCGAAGCAGCTGGCATTCATTTCGTCATGGTAATCACCTCCTTTCTTAGAGACGAAAATCAAGTCACACTCTTCTAAAAAGCCACTATCGCTACCAATATGAGTTACGATCAATCTTTGACCTTTCCCTGACGGTCCACGAAGACCTGTTGACAAACCTTCAATGCTTGCTTGTCGGTTACTCACTACGTTTTTGTCTATCCAGGTTTTTTTAACTGTGTGACCTGCATTTACCCATGTCTCGTCCAAATAATAGATTTTTCTGCTTTGTCGCCTATATTCAATCATTTCGCGTGGGTATCTTCGACGCCAGGCGACTATTTCAGGTCTCTATCAATACTGACTTCCGATTACGCGTTTCGTAACGAAAATTAATTTCGTGCAGGGATTTCCTCATTACCTCGACGCTCATTTGGGGTATAATTTCACTTTCCTTGATCGCTGCATATACAGCCTTGAGGGTTGGTATCTCATCCCTAAAGAAGAATTAATGTACGGTTCGCCTTAACGCCATTTTGCTATCGTCATCCAATTTAACGACCTTTCGTCCCTTCAAATTAAACTTTGGATCAGTAGTAGCTCCAGTTTTCTTCTTTTCATGCACCACCCTGCGAATGGTCCACTCTGGAACGCCTGTCATACTTTCACAACGCGCGAGTGCATCTCCCTGCGACATAGTTCTGTTCAGATAATTCTTTCGCGTCCCTCTTCAGTGCTTTACGAAGCCGGCTACTTGTTCCCTGGCTTTCAGTACTTCCACTCGTGCCATTTGTACTCTCCATGGTTAAGTATAACCAAAACAGTAACCACAGAAACCACAACAATAACAATCACACAACAATTCTTATAAAAACACACAATATGCGATCGCTCAACGAAACACGTTCCAATGCGTTGCCGACGCCTATGAGTCTGCCGGTCGAGGCGCGTCTTTGATTTCATTGGTTCTACCGGCGGAGAACAATCAGCCATTATTTGCATCTCTGTCTGTGCTGTTGACCACCGCAAAGCCACAGAAACGACATCTGTCGTACGCTATACGGCTGTACTGGAAGGAAGCCGGGATCGAGCTCTGATCACGTGTTGATCACGCGTATGAGTCATTACAGTTTTAAATAGTTGTAGTATAGTGGAACAAGCCAATTTTTACCTCCTACACTACTGGGCGAGGAAGTATTGTGATGGCGAACAATTTTGAAAATAAGATTGTATGTTTTTTGGATTTTATATTACAAGTACGGAAAACCATGTCGCTCATTTCCGTCGGGATGTCTGCCTGTCCGCTAATTCTACACCCATCTATAACATGCGAAGTATCGAACGGATTTTGATTAAATTTCACACAGGTTCACTACTACGCCAAAGAAGAAAACGTTTTTAACAATCGGTCTAGTTGCAGCGGAGTGGGGGGGGGGGGGCGCTCGAAAAATAAAAATAACCGCTAAATTATGTTTAGCATCTACCCCGGTGTGAACTGGTGTACTGCGGCGATGTCAACATGGACCTATACCGCTACAGAGGATTAATTATATATTTTCGGAATATTTCGGTATTAGGAGTACGTAAATGTCGACTTAACTGTTTTTATATCTACACTACTTTGAGAATTGGACCCTTTGGACAGTGGCGGATTGAGATAGAGCGAGGGGGGCGCAACGCCCGCCCACTGTTTTTCAAGAAAATGGTATACAGGATGCTTTAGAAAGACGTGCCAATGTTTCTGGGATAGAAAGAATATCCAAAAATAAAAAAGTACCTATAGTCAACGCCAAACAAAGTGGCGTGCACGTCATCAAGGTGGGTGTGTTGAAAAATTTACATTGTTGCCAAACTTTTTGTAAAATAATAAAATTTATTATTTACATATCTAGGTTTATAAGCAATATTAACCTCAAATGAGAACAAAAATAATAGTATAATAAAATTATAGATCTGTACTTGCATAATCATTAAGTATGACAATTATTGATCAGATGACACTATGAAACTACCATATTTAATTGATAGCTTAAAGGTACTGAATAAAAATCCAAATGGGGTCCTCCAAATTTTATGCATGGTATTTATTTTACAGAATTCATACAGAAAAATGCATTCTAAAATTAGGTAAGCTACTGGTGTAAGCTTTTTCTGTACAATAAAGTTAGTCGGAGTTTCTTTCTTCAGCGCTGTCTGAATCTGAATCTTCATCACTCTCAAAGTTGATTATTAAAGGTTCGATGTCTGGTCGATCAAAAATTCGTTCTCTTTCATACCATTTAAAAATTTCTTGCTCAGTATGTCGAACACTATTTTTCCACATGTCTGGGGTAACCGTTTGTAGAGCCTCGTTCCACATATCCAAACAGTCTTTTTCACTGTTACCATCTCTACCAATATGTCTGTTATAGTAACCTTTTGCTATGCCCCAAATTAACTCAATAGGGTTAAATATACAATGGTAAGGAGGCAGACGAAGAACTTTGTGCCCATGTTGTTCCGCCAATTCATCAATCACGTATATTTTAGGTGGTTTGTTTCTAAAAAAGCAGTTATTTTAAGAATAGGAATAAACAAAAGAAATATAAACTGTCGACCAAAATATATATAATTAAGAAGCATTATGTACCGAGCAACAATACTCAATAGCTCTGTTTTAAACATTGTGTTTAAAAATGGTATGTTTTGATTTGTCAACCAGTCTTGGATATTGTTTTTTGTCCATGCTTTGTTGGGCACTTTGTTCAATATCATGCTGTGATAAGGGGCGTTATCCAGTATAACATAGATGGACTCTCCAATTTTTCTAATAACTGATGTTGAAACCATTTCAAAAAATTGTCCTGGTTCATCTCTCCATGGTAATCGCTCAATTTTGTTTTCGAAGAAAATATCGCTTCACTACCCTCAATAAACCCATTTTCATTTCCAGCATGTAATATAATGTATCTAAAATATATTACTTTTAAATTGTGTAAAAGTACATACCTTTTACCATCTGTTTTAATAGCTTTCACGCTTTTTTGGTTTCCATTTTGCCAAGAGCGACCTATGGTCCCATTTTGAAATATCCAAGTTTCATCGAGGAAGACAAACTGGTATAAGGCCTCAACCTTGGCTTGATTGTATTGCCTTAGAAATTCCACCCTTTTCAAAGCTATACTTGGTAGTTCCATGAGCCCTCGTCGCGGATTGTCCTTAAGCCACTTAAATCCAAGATCTCTAAGCAACCGCCTTAAAGACGTGGCACTACCATCAAATAATGCCCTATCTCTTAATCGAGACCATAAAGTTTGTATCGTAACTTGTTCTTCTGAAACCATGTGTAATATGACATTATAATTTAGTTAACAAATTAATGCAAATTTCTGATAAGTTATTATAATAAGATCTTACTTTTGTGATACATATTATGGATCACTTCTCGAATGGCACTTGTATCCAATGTCGCTGTGTTGGTTACACGTTTAATATAACTCCGCTTTTTCTTGGGCGATTCTAAATTTGCATCACTTTTCACACCCTCGGAAATACGACTAACTGTCCTTAAACTAATTTTTAAAGCAGCAGCAACACGCTACAAAAAATGAAATAAAATTTCACTATTATTAATATACATTACATATAATTATTAGTAACCTACCTCTTGAACAGCATTTAAAGGCAACAAAGGCCCGTTGTTGTCCCTTTCTTGCTCAAAGTAGTGCATTAACGAGGCCACGAGTTCCTTACACCGACTATTTAACTGTTTGGGCATCTTTATATACCAAAATTGCCTTTATCTACTCGTAAAATGAATAATTTTGTTTTGAAACAAACAGTTGTTGATTTACAGTATGCGGGGCCAAAGGATTTATAAAGATTTGAAATGCCACAAATTGATTCAGTGTCAAAATTAATACAAATGTCAGTTCCCAGTTTGAATAAGTTTCAAGGTGACAATGTGTCAACGCTGCGAAATCGGTTTAGTGCGTTTACATGTCGATAAGTGATTGGAGCGTTTGCAAAACATTTTATTTCGCATAATGCGTCTAAATTTATCAGAAAGCAACTTATGTGATATTTTAATAACAATGTTTATATGACTATTAACCATAATAAGAGAGTAATGACCATTTTACAATTTATATATCACATTAATATGACACTGCAATAGAGCAATTGTTTGTGATAGAAACCTAGGCATTAGGTCGGGGAATTTTTATCGTGATGACGTGCACGCCACTTTGTTTGGCGTTGACTATATAAATATAGGTCCAAAAATAATCACCTCACCATCAAGATACGGGGTGATGAAGTTTTATTTATGGCATTGAAAAAATATATATCTACGGAGTGGGTAAGGATAAAGAGTTAAGATTTCAGACTTCCGTAAGAATTACGTGCTTATTTCTAAATTTATGAGGAACATAATATTGGGAACAAAAAATAATGCTGAATAAATGCTATAACATCTAACAAAGACTCTCTGACTCTGGCACAGTACGAACAATGTTGGAAGCCTAATGTATACTTCGTCCTCATATCCTCCTCAATCCGAACTGATACGAATTTTGAGAAAAAAGACCGATCATTCCAAAAATAAAATAATAAAAATTTTACTCAATTTTATCTAACATGGGTAATACTATGAGAAGTATACTACGGAAACCAGTGGCGTGCATAGACAAGGTTTAAAGAATGGTAACCTTCTTCGATAATGATTGAGGATAAGACACGCATATTATTCAATTAATGATGTAATGAGGTGTCATAACTTTCTTTACATGTCGAATAGTGTTCCCAATATCAAGCTCCACGGTATTTTTATAATAAGCGGGGGAGTGAAACATCTTATGGGCAACCTGGAACGCCAAGGTTATTCTCCCAGGCGCAATCAAGAAAACTGCATTATCTTAATGTACGAATATCAAATATGGTGTTTGTTTTGGTTAACGTCCAGATTGTCAACGCTGATGCTTTCGGAGATATTTCGTTAAAAATGAGTATAAAATATAAAGCAACACTAACAGTAGCTTTGAAGGTATACGTGAGATGTATTGTCACTATTGTGGGAGATGTAAAAGTTCAGGTTACTCTGTTATAAAGTGCTACAGGTAGGCTGTGAACCTAACATATCGGCGTGATGTATACTAAGTGACATATAAATCCGAACACCCAGTTTAAATGGTTTTATTTTAATAAAATTTTGCATAAGTACTTAATGAAGCATAATAAGTAAATGATAAAAATTTCAAAATGATTGCACTGCTTTAAAGTCCTTTGACCTTCAATAATGTGTGGATGCACCCTGATGTGCTACGCATTCTCCAACGCGCCTAGGCATGCTTCTGCTCAGGTGGTCAATGTCCTCCTGTGGTATCTCATTCCAGGCAACCACCAACTCCTCTCAAAGTGCTTCTAGAGTCTGAGGAGGACGTTGCAAATTGAGCAATATCCTACCCATCATATCCCACACGTGCCCAATTGGGGATAAGTTGGGAGATCTTGGTGGCCATGGTAACAATGTGACATCATTATGTTGAAAGAAGTCTATTGTGACTCTTGCAACATATGGTCAGGCATTATCTTGTTGGAAAGTTGGATCTGCCAGGGTGTCAAGATAGGGTAAAAGATGGGGTTCTAGAACGTCGTGGATATAACGCTGCGCGTTCATGTTACCTCTGATGAAGATTAAAGGTGACCTGGAACCATAAGCTATAGCACCCCAAACCATAACTCCAACAGTGTGATGAACATGTCTTTCAACAAAAAACTGTGGATTCCTCCTTTCACCACGTCGCCTTCTAACCCTGGCACGACCATCGTGCATGCCTAAACAAAATCGAGACTCGTCACTAAAGACAATACTGTTCCATTCCTGATCCCAGAGTGACCGTTGTCTGCATCACTCAAGGCGATTACGTCGGTGTTCTCGAGTTAAAGGGAGGACCCAGTGTGGCCGGTATGAAAACAAGCCAAAACTTCTCATTCGTCGGTAAACACTTCGCATGCCAATAGGTCTTCCGTGTTCTGCAAACCATTAATTTGCAATGGACCTGGTAGTGGAGAAACGGTCCCTCAAGGCCAATAATCTTAGGCGGCGATCTTCACGGTCTGTTGTTCTACGGCGGCGTCCAGTGCCCCTTGCTCTTTGCGTACGGCCTTCTCGAAGCCATGCCTGACAACACGTAACCACAATGTCTACACTTCTTTGCATTCTAACTGCAATTGCCCGAAAAGAAAGTCCAGCTTCCCGAAGTCCCACTATACGGCCCCTATCAAACTCACTAAGTTGACGAAATCGTACAGGTCTCCGTACTCTAAGCATCGTAACCGATCGTAAAGGATGTCAAGAACCAAAATCCGCCAACGTTGATTCTTTACTGCGGCTGAAATATTCATTTTTAGAGCGTTAGTGAATTAAAAAAAAGCAGTATAAAAACCGGAATGTCCAACTGATGAGGCTGAAAATTTTTTCACTTGTTATTTACAGTAAGATAAATACATTCACCAACTTTTATTAAAATAAAACCATTTAAACTGGGTGTTCGGATTTATAAGTCACTTAGTATAGATGGAAGATTCACTGTTCGTCATTTTGAACATTTTTGTCGCTCTCCGAATTTTTTTCATGCTTTTGCGTCTACTGTGTTATACTGAAATCTAATACGCAGTCAGTTTCTTCCCATCATCCACAAGTTTTTAGAGAAGGGAGAATATAAAATATAAAAATCCCAAATTATAAGCGATTTAGTGGTGAATTTTTAAAAATTAAAAAAATAACAAATCCACTTTTTTAGAAAATAAACTTCTTATTGTACGAGCCCAACTATTGTAATCTTAGTTTTTTTCTTATCAAACATAAATAATAAAAATGTAGCAGGGTGTTATAGGTTTAAAATATTAACAATGAATATTTTGATAATATATAGTAGGAAACACCAACTTTATCACTCCCTAATCAAATTTGCAGCATAAAATTATCACATGTTGCAATTACAGCATATCAACCTATTTTCATTTCAATGCAAAATAAGTCTATAACGCATAGGTGGCTGTGGAAAATAAAAGCCATGACAACTATTTTTATTAATCACAGCTGTCAGAATACGTTTAAAATAGTTTTTGGTAGTTAAGGTTTTCAAAATGGGTAGAGGAAAGGTTATTATTATAGAAAATTCGGTTACTGATAATTAAATTTTTTAATTCTGGGAAATCAAACTCAGAAATTGCAACTTTGTTAGACTTATCGCGGTACAGTGTGAGAAATATTGTTAGAAGATTTAACGTAACTGGCTCAGTTAATATTAAGCCACGATATGTGAAAAAAGTAATATCACAAATGCCGACCGAAGAGCATTAAGAAGAATAATCGTGAAAAACAGGCGTGCCAATTACTTACAATTAAGTCTGTGGAGTGACGCTGTTGGAAGGAGAATTTTGAGGTCCACAACTCATAGAGAGGCCCACAAACTGGGATTTAGCACTTGCAAGGTAAGTTTTCTTATAAAAAAAGTGAAGTAAAAACCCTAAAGTTTCTCAACTTGTTTATAGGCCAAAGAAAAGCCACTATTAACTCCACTGCAAACGAAAAATCGGCTTAGATGGGCTAAAGCACATAGACAATGGACACCTCAACAATGGTGTGCAATACAATGGAGTGATGAGGCCCGATTTGAAGTTTGTGTTGGTGACAGTCGCAGTAGAGTTATTCGCAAAAAATGACGCATTCCATGTTGACTGTCTGAAGAGAAATTTCCAGCATCCATTATGGTCTGCGGCAGTATGTCATCAAAAGGAGTAGGAAAACTTCATTTTATTGATGGAAATGTGGATACAAACAAATATTTGGCAATTTTAGAAGAATCGCTGTTACCAGTGATGGAAGAATGATTGACATTCGGCCAAGATTTTGTGTTTCAGCAAGATGGTGCAGCGTGCCATACCTAAAAAAGGCTATAAAATGGATGGAAGAAAATAATGTACCACTTTTGTAATGGGTTTCTAGCAGTCCAGATCTTTCACCTATTAAAACTTTGTGGCACGAGATGAAAAAGGTTCTACGACAACATCCTGCTGGTACAATCACCGAACTGAGACAAAAGCTTCAAGAAATATGGGATTGTTTTACATCAAATTTTTGCAAAAACTTGGTTAACACTATGCCCCAAAGAATTTCAGCCGTACTAACAAATAAAGGTGAAGTTACCCAGTGGTAATATTTCAATTGTTGCTTTGTTAACTTCGCGCATTTTTTCGCACATTGTTTATTTGTTCAGATGTTCTATTAGTTATAGGTCTGTGTGATTTCAGATATGTATTTTTTACGACTAGAGTGTATCTAAAATATTTTTGAGAAAATAAATTGTTTTAGAAGTAAATAGTTTCGTCATGTTTAGTTTATAAAGGCATATTTTGGTACAAACCTTGAAGTGGGCCAACTGAAGTGGGAAGGGGCTCGTATAACTTTGAATCCCAATTCGACATGTTAAGAATAAAAATAAATATGTTTATGTACAAACCTTGATGAATCGACTGCCATCAAATTGACAATCTCACCGACAGTTTTTTCTTTTCTCGCGTTGACAGATATCCTCAGCGCTTTCTTGTACACTGCTGATATCAGCACTGTTCGCATCTTCATACCAACGGTGGCGATGACTTTCATATGGGACACATTGAAGAATGTTAGCAAGGAATTCGTCGCAAACATGAGACCAGCATACATGAAACCCTTCCATGGTTCTTGGCCCTGCTGCACGAATATAATCAGGAGACTGAAAATGAAAGGAATAATACAGGGTGGTCCATAAGTCCTTTGAAATTTCAAATTTGAATAAAATTTAACGGGTGAGCGTGAGCGGCGCGGGCGAGGTGGGGGCAGTATCTTCAGTGTCTGGGAATTCAGTCGCCATGGAGTGTTTCACTGGAGCGGATCGTGCTTTTTGTTTGCGCGCGTTTTATCAAAATAATGATTCGGCAACCATTGCGCGGCGTAAATATCGAGAATACCACAATTTACACAATTTTACAAAGTGTCCAACAGCTCAAACGATTAAGAACTGGGTTGCTAAGTTCGAAGAGACTGGTTCGACGTTAGATAAACAGCGTATTGAAGAAAACATCAACATTTTGGCACAGTCTGTTCGTCAAAATCCTACCCAGTCTACTCGTAAGCGTTCCAGTGCACTAAACGTACCCAGAACATCTTTACAGCTGATTTTAAGGAAAGATTTACGTCTGCACGCTTACAAAATTCAGTTAGTGCAGGAATTAAAAGATAATGACGCTACTCAGAGACTAAACTTTGCGAATGAAATGTTGAATCGATTTTCTTCGCTCAATAATGTGTTGTTCTCAGACGAGGCTCACTTCCATTTAAACGGGCATGTAAATAAACAGAATTGCCGTTATTGGAGCCCCGAAAATCCAAGGCGTAAGCATCAGAAGCCCTTACACAGCCCTAAAGTTACAGTTTGGGCTGCTATGTCAGCGCATGGCATCGTAGGCCCTTATTTTTTTGAGGACGACAGAGGTCGCGCATTAACTGTTACTTCGGAGCGGTATGTAGCAATGATAGAAGAGTTTTTGACACCAGCGTTGCAGAATTTTCCAGGCTATAATACGCAGACCTGCTTTCAACAGGACGGAGCAACTGCCCACACCTCCAACACTTCTATGCTTGTCGTCTGTCAACTTTTTCCCAGCAAAGTAATTTCTCGAAGAGGAGACATTTCCTGGCCACCACGTAGTCCAGATTTGACCCCAATGGACTTCTTTTTATGGGGCTACCTCAAGAGTAAAGTGTACGATACCACTCCGCGATCAGTTGATGTCCTGAAAGAAAATATCCGAAGAGAATTTTTTTTTTATATATATATCGAAACAGCCGCGCAGGCAGAAGCCTAAATGCCGGAACACCGCGGCTGCTATGATGATCCCAAAGAAATTTTGTTAATACGATTTTTGAACTGCCTAAGGTTAGTAGAACTGGGAAAAGCTTCCTCCCGTAGTTTGTTCCACAATCTAGACACCCTCGGGACAAAGGAGCGGTCGTATCGGCCAGTTCTGGATGTACGAAGTTTGACACGGTTAGGATGGGACGCCGAAGTCAGGCGGGTCTGTCTGGCAGGCACATCGCGCGGCGGCATCATGGAAGAGAGCTCTGAGGAGCAAAGCCCGTTGGTGTAGCGATAGAAAAGAGCTAGATCGCCGACGGCTCGCCGGTGCGAAAGAGTCCCGAGACTGTCTGTTAGAGAAGAGTCATCGATCAGTCGGGCCGCCCTCCTCTGGACAGCATCGAGCATGGACAATGTAGTCGGGGCGGCAGCACCCCAAATGTGTGAGCAATACTCGAGGCTAGGCCTTATCTGGGCCTTGTATAGAGTGAGAAGGTCATGCGAAGAAAAGTACTTCTTAGCCCTAAACAAATAGCCTAGCTTTTTCCCAGCAGCTGCAGCTATTGAAGAGATGTGTTCGTGCCAGATCAGGTCCTCGGTGATCTGGACTCCGACCAGCCGAAATGAATGGCTCTTTGGTAGGACTCGACCGTCCATCGAAACTGTATGAGCGCTAGGACGCTTTTTGTTTGTCAAAGTACAGTACTGGGTTTTGGAAGCATTGAACTGTACAAGATTGTTGCGTCCCCAAGCAGTGATAGCCTCCAGGTCTCTTGTCAGAGAAGAAGTCGTCGCTAGTCTTCTTTTTTCCAGCTCAGCGGCAGAGATCGGCTTGTCACTCTGAATTCCTGCATGTAGAGTGCTGTCATCAGCGAAGCTGTGGATTGGGTTGATCGTGCAGGAAAGGAGGTCGTTGATATGTAAGAGAAACAGTGTTGGAGCCAAGACCGATCCCTGGGGAACACCCGCGTTGACGTTGTGGGATGAAGAGGAGAATCCGTCAATTACGACGGATATCTTGCGGCCAGAGATAAAGTCAGCCACCCATCTGCAAAGCTTTTCTGGGAGGCCGTAGAATGGAAGTTTGCTCAAGAGGGCAGCGTGCCACAGCTGATCGAACGCTTTCGTGATGTCAAGAGCAACGACATGAGCCTCACCATGAGACTGGATGAGTTTACTCCACAGTTGCGTGACGTAAGCTAGGAGGTCCCCTGTGGATCGTTGGTGCCGGAAACCGTACTGCCTGTCGCTAATCAAGCTGTGACGTTCGAGGTAGTCCAGAAGCTCGCGATTTATGCACCTCTCCATCACTTTACTTATAACAGAAAGCAGAGCTATAGGCCTGTAGTTGTAAGGGTCGGTTTTAGATCCTTTTTTTGGGATGGGCTGTACATGAGCAAATTTCCAGTTTTCTGGGAAGGTGCCGGATTCATAAGATATCTGGAAGAGACGCGAAAGAACTGGAGCAAGCTCAGCTGCACATCTCTTCAGTACAATGGCAGGAATCAAGTCCGGACCAGAAGCTTTGTTGATGTCGAGCGACAAGAGCACTCGTCTTACGGTCTTATGCCTGAATGTTACCTCCCGCATAGTGTGGGGAACCCTTTGAATTGATGGCACTTGGGCGTTGGTGGGGACGTCCATGGTGGAGTTGGCAGCAAAGATCTTGGCTAGCACTTCCGCCTTGGCCTTTGAGTCGAATACAACAGTTCCATCCTGACACGTAAGTGGTGGAAGGCTACTGTGTGAGAAGTTCTTTTCAATCTGCTTGGCCAGCGTCCAGAAAGACCGACTGCCATTGCGCTGCGACATTACCCTATGCCTAACTTTTATATCATGCTGGGTTTTGGCATTGCGAACCGCTTCGTTATATTTGTTTCTGGACTCGACGTCGGCTTGTCTGTTCTCTACAGTGGGGTTTTGTAAGTAGGTTCTGTGGGCCTTGATCTTCTGCTGGCGAGCAGTGTCACACGATTTGTTGAACCAGCCGTTGGACCCTGGTTTAGGAACTTTCACTGTGTGAGGGATGTATTCCTCCATTCCGACGTGGATAATTTCGGTTATTGAAGAACAGACAGTCGACGCATCCGCGTCAGTGAAACAGACATCTCTCCAAGGAAAGCTAGAGAAGAAGTCTCTGAGCCCCTCCCAGTCGGCATGTCCGTAATGCCAAGTTTTGCGGCCTGTGCGAGTTTCTGCGGCCACAGCGGCTTCTGACCGAAACCTAACCTCCACAACACCGTGATCTGAGTTACCCAGGGGGGACAGGACGGCAGTGCTGTAAGGGGCAGGATGCGTGGTCAGAAAGAGATCCAGCAGGCTACTGGCGTGTGACGAGACGCGGGGGAAAAAAGTAGGGCTCGTCACCAGCTGGGTCAGCCCTTGAGTAAGAGCGAACGCTTCGACTGCACGACCTGCTGCATCGGTTTTATTTGAGCCCAACCAAAGCTCATTATGGGCATTGAAATCACCGAGAAGAACTACCTCTGAAGCGGGGTGATTGATGTTCAGGAAGTCGATCTGGACGGCGAGGTATTCGAGTAGGTCATCCCAGTTATGGTTCGAGGGAGAGCGATAAAGGCAGCAAATAAATTTGGGTGATGTTTTGGAATTGAGGCGAAGCCACAGAATGTCCTTCCGGTCTGATTCCAAAGAAAGATCCCTGGAGCAGGAAAGACTGCTGCGGACAAAAGCCACAACTCCCCCGTTCTTTCTCAGATTGGAGTGCACCTCGTAGTTTGGGAAGTTGAGATGGTTAATCGGTGCAGCCTCTGAGATTTTTGTCTCCGCCAAGAAAAGCACGGCGGGACGATTGGATTGCAGGTAGTGATGAACAGCATCAATGTTGCTGTTGATCCCGCAGATGTTCGAAAAACAAATTTTATCTTCGATGTTGTTCCCTCGAGCCCACCCTCCACCCGGACATTCCGAGAGTGGAGTGAGTTTACGTCCGGAGTTTTTAGTGCTCGAGGGATCCATCATCATTAATTTCTTTGTTTTGGTAGATAACCGACTGCATAGCTTAGGTGTGGAAACATGCGGACATTTATAAGACACCCTGGGAAAAGCTAGCGGGTGGTACTGCCTCGGTCGACTGGTCCTTGTCTACCACCTTCTTTTTACGTATTAGTGATGTTAAATAGACCTAAAGTGGCCCGTTGGCGGACTTGTACCGCCACCCGGCAATCGGTACTGAGGTATTCCTTAACGCGTGCGCAATCACTTGGACGGGAAGAAGTTGTATACTGGATACAACGACTTCCGGAACAAGCATTTGCCACGGCCCTCGCTCAGTAGGGGCAAGCATTACAGTGTTGACTTGCCGCGCAGTCATCGACAATTTTAGACGTCGTTTATATGAGTGCCGTGATCGTAATGGATTGCATTTAGACGATGTGATTTGTAAAACATAATTCCCATTCAATAAAGATGATAACAAAATATAATAATTCTTCATAATGTAACTAGTTTGGTTTTATTCCTTTTTCTCCAGCTCAAAGGACTTATGGGCCACCCTGTATTTACAAATATGCGAATGAAAATAAATAGTATTAACAAGACAAAATACTGCGAGTTATTACGGGAATTTTAAGAATTGGAGTCCGACTAACAATCTATTTTTGAATATTAATATTCTCTCATCAGAAGGCTGACATTACTAGATTATAATTTTGAATCGTTCGCTATTACAAAAGGACTGACCCAGCTGGTGACGAGCTCTACCTTTTTCCCCGCGTAGTGCTAGTACCCTGCTAGATCTCTTTCAGACCACGCATCCAGTCCCTTACAGCACTGTTGTCCTGTCTCCTGTAGGTAACTCAGATCACGGTGTTGTGGAGGTTAGGTTCCGGTCTGAACCGGCTGTGGCAGCAGAAACT